AGTGCGTTTTATGTCTTTCTGCTCTCGCTTACCTCTTGCTGGCATTGCTAGAACTTAACTCACCGGAATGCAGGATAACTGTGCCAGTGTCGTGCTGAACTTGTGTTATGAAACTCAAATTTTGAACAAATTGGCAATACTTCAAAGTGCTCCATCTGTTAAACACTTCTGATATTTCACCCAACACTTACCCAGTCCTCTTACCGGCGACTTACTATTCACCGACTACTAATGTCTACTTTTTCGCAGGAAATCCTGCGATCTGGCGGCAAGGGGATATCTTGGTTGGCAGCGACTGGTGCGGATCTAATAATGCAAACAATATAAAACTTCCCCTCCGAGGCAAATTGAATAACTACCTTTGCCAGCGAACGTGGTGCTTACTACAAGGAGGTTGTAAATGTTTAGAATAAATTAAAATTATTATATTTGAACCAATATTCATATTCTATTTAATTTCTAGTTATATAATCAACCATATGTACGTCAAGTGAAGGCTTCTACCTGCAGAGTGCTTGGCACGGACTTGGCACGTGGCAAAACAAATGCAGATTTTGAGGTCACATAACAGAAATTGAGATGACAGTGATATGTTGGGTTTTTGTTCCGAGACTTTTCAATATAGAACGAGTCACGAGATGTGACGACTTTTCATTTGCTTACTATATACTGATCCATTATTATAATGAGAATATCTATATAATCTTACCTCCACCTTTTCTCTCCAGTCTGAGTCTAGCACTTGACCGTAGCCAGCACACCACAGAGTACGGCTGACAGTAATTTTCATGGTGTACTGTACTCTTTGCATACTTAATAAGACATCTCAGATGAACGCGATCGTTCATCGTATATATTGATGTAAAGTTTCAAAAATTCGACCCAATATATAGTTTTCTTCATATTACTTTTTTTTTTCAACAAAAATATGGCAACTTTGCAATCTACGGGTTAACTGGCTACAGGACATCTAAAATTATGTTTTTGTTTGCATGGGCGCGGTAACATAGCAAACAATTCTTCAGTTGAAGAACGAAGTAGAACATAACGGATATATCATGGGACTCACCCTAGCTACATAAGCGGGCTACAAGCTAGAATAAGCTTTATGGGCCTATTTGAGCATTAGGTCTAAATGATTTTATCATTTCCCAAAGCGCTTCAGACGAAGTGACCAGAAATTTGTTGTTTTTTCGGACAATTGAATGGACCTTTTTTTTTCATTGGGGAAATATTTGCAGCAACAGCTTGCACGGGTTTTTTTTTTCGTCGAGATATGTACTGCATGTAAAATTCTCCAGAAACGATGCATGCCCGACAAATATAAGGTCGCAGAGTGCTGAGCGATTTATTATGATCATGTTTATCTACTTGTGTTCAGAAGCTTCCGTCAGTGCAGTGATACCATCGAGTGTGACAAATCTGTTCCGGATAGGACGGTTTCTGAATTATTTGCAAGTATCAATGGAGTCAGATAGCGCCCACACTTCCCCTTCAAAGAGTAAGCATAAATATACCAGGGCTGAAACAACCAAGTAGTTCTGATAATAAAAGTTACTGACACTGTAGATCTCTTGGAAGGGAGGGGGGGGGGGGCATACAAGTCTCCCGAGTCTTTTTCACCAATCGCTGGGCTGGTTCCTTTCTTGTTTTCACCAAAATTCACGTAAGAAGTGCGCAATAACACTCTCAATCGTCACAGTTTCAGAGCTTTTTGTGAGGATGAGCTGTATCTTCACATCACGGTACGTTATTTTACTACTTAATTTGTGGACATATATCAAAAATGTTTTAATCTGTTAATCAACATCTTAATATGCTGACGAAGGACGAGCGTTGAAGATGAAAAATGGCCATATCATACAAATCTGCAGTGATCCTCATGGCCAACGAATACCACGACGTTGTCATACCTGGGTTCATTGCCAGTCCTGCCTTCTGGCCTAATTGAACATTAGAGGTGCACTAAAGACTTCGTTTTTCTATTCAAAATGCAAATTAAATGACTCTATAGCTAATTCTAACATTTCCTCTCCACAAGAATAAATTTCGAGGTTAGTCAAGAGATCAACATAAGCAGTAGTAGAAGTACATTCAACAGTTTGTTTATCAAACCTTATGTTTCAAACAGCGGTCTGTCTTTCCCCCACATTCAAAGACGGGAACTTGACTTTTTTCCGTAATCATACACTCATTTATTCAGCAGAATTCAAATTTGGTTTTGTTCCGTTTTGCATAAAAGTTCACAACCAATGTCAAGTGTTCAAACTTTTAACAGTTTTAGGCTAATCAGATATACTTAATCCTACATCTAAGATCTTAAATGCATTTGCTATCCTTTTTTCAAATTTGTCTGATTATGAAAAGTACCAATGCTTTAAAAGAGAAATAATAATAATAATAATATTAATAATAATAATAATAATAATAATAATAATAATAATAATAACAAACATGTTCTCTTTTTACTTTGTGATAAGGATTTATTTAGTATTACATATAACTAAATAATTCTGATAATAACACAACAACATGAACTCATAAAAGTGAGCAATTTTTCAGATCAATGAACTAAATACCTGTGCCTCTTTTTCACACTGCAACTTTTAGGGGCTTTGACTTCACACAAAAACATACTTAATTTCATTATTTTATAAATTAAATCATGAAAGTATTAATTTATATCACATCTTACACTTGGTTCATTTTTACTTAGCCTTAAAAAAAGGCAAATTTAAGAGTAATTTTACTTTGGTTTTTTATGCTAGACTAAATATAGATAAAGAGGGACAATACTGCAGCAATATAAAAATTATAACTTCATCTCAAGTACAAATGAGAAAAAATTCTTACTAGGCACAATGCTTTCATGCATGGCAAAGTTCAAACCATGAAACTCAATTCACAGCATTGTTTCTCAAAAGAATTTAATTTGATGCACAGTTTTTCACCACAGCAGAACTGACTTTAACTTTACTACATCTCCTAATCCAATGCCTTAAAGCTTTTATACAAGAATAAATTACCTGGTTTTTGATGATGTTTTTTACCAAAATGACTAGAAAGTCAGAAATACACCAAAAGCCATGAACCCTACGAATACCCTTTGGCAGAAGGTGGGCTACCAACTTCCAAGCTTTTTTATGAAAATATAGAAGAATAGGTGGGAATCTTTGATTTGATCACTGGCAAACATTCCTGAAAGAAAAACAAAAAATTGTATCAAAACCTTCTCTCATCATTGTACTTATCGGTTACTTGTAAAAAAGCATTTTATAACAATACAATTAGGATATAATTTAAATCTTGAGCAAACAGTATAATTNTAGTTTTCATGGTGTACTGTACTCTTTGCATACTTAATAAGACATCTCAGATGAACGCGATCGTTCATCGTATATATTGATGTAAAGTTTCAAAAATTCGACCCAATATATAGTTTTCTTCATATTACTTTTTTTTTTAACAAAAATATGGCAACTTTGCAATCTACGGGTTAACTGGCTACAGGACATCTAAAATTATGTTTTTGTTTGCATGGGCGCGGTAACATAGCAAACAATTCTTCAGTTGAAGAACGAAGTAGAACATAACGGATATATCATGGGACTCACCCTAGCTACATAAGCGGGCTGCAAGCTAGAATAAGCTTTATGGGCCTATTTGAGCATTAGGTCTAAATGATTTTATCATTTCCCAAAGCGCTTCAGACGAAGTGACCAGAAATTTGTTGTTTTTTCGGACAATTGAATGGACCTTTTTTTTCATTGGGGAAATAATTGCAGCAACAGCTTGCACGGTTTTTTTTCGTCGAGATTTGTACTGCATGTAAAATTCTCCAGAAACGATGCATGCCCGACAAATATAAGGTCGCAGAGTGCTGAGCGATTTATTATGATCATGTTTATCTACTTGTGTTCAGAAGCTTCCGTCAGTGCAGTGATACCATTGAGTGTGACAAATCTGTTCCGGATAGGACGGTTTCTGAATTATCTGCAAGTATCAATGGAGTCAGATAGCGCCCACACTTCCCCTTCAAAGAGTAAGCATAAATATACCAGGGCTGAAACAACCAAGTAGTTCTGATAATAAAAGTTACTGACACTGTAGATCTTTTGGAGGGGAGGGGGGCATACAAGTCTCCCGAGTCTTTTTCACCAATCGCTGGGCTGGTTCCTTTCTTGTTTTCACCAAAATTCACGTAAGAAGTGCGCAACAACACTCTCAATCGTCACAGTTTCAGAGCTTTTTGTGAGGATGAGCTGTATCTTCACATCACGGTACGTTATTTAACTACTTAATTTGTGGACATATATCAAAAATGTTTTAATCTGTTAATCAACATCTTAATATGCTGACGAAGGACGAGCGTTGAAAATGAAAAATGGCCATATCATACACAATCTGCAGTGATCCTCATGGCCAAAGAATACCACGACGTTGTCATACCTGGGTTCATTGCCAGTCCTGCCTTCTGGCCTAATTGAACATTAGAGATGCACTAAAGACGTACTCGCACTAAAGACTTCCACGTTTTTCTATTCAAAATGCAAATTAAATGACTCTATAGCTAATACTAACATTTCCTCTCCACAAGAATAAATTTTGAGGTTAGGCAAGAGATCAATATAAGCAGTAGTAGAACTGTACATTCAACAGTTTGTTTATCAAACCTTATGTTTCAAACAGCGGTCCGTCTTTCCCCCACATTCAAAGACGGGAACCTGACTTTTTTTTCGTAATCATACACTCATTTATTCAGCAGAATTCAAATTTGGTTTTGTTCCGTTTTGCATAAAAGTTCACAACCAATGTCAAGTGTTCAAACTTTTAACAGTTTTAGGCTAATCAGTTATACTTAATCCTACAAAAGATCTTAAATGCATTTAAATGCATTATCTTAAATCCTTTTTTCAAATTTGTCTGATTATGAAAAGTAGCAATGTTTTAAAAGAGAAATAATAATAATAATAATAATAAACATGTTCTCTTTTTACTTTGTGATAAGGATTTATTTAGTATTACATATAACTAAATAATTCTGATAATAACACAACAACATGAACTCATAAAAGTGAGCAATTTTTCAGATCAATGAACTAAATACCTGTGCCTCTTTTTCACACTGCAACTTTTAGGGGCTTTGACTTCACACAAAAACATACTTAATTTCATTATTCTATAAATTAAATCATGAAAGTATTAATTTATATCACATCTTACACTTTGTTCATTTTTACTTAGCCTTAAAAAAAGGCAAATTTAAGAGTAATTTTACTTTGGTTTTTTATGCTAGACTAAATATAGATAAAGAGGGACAATACTGCAGCAATATAAAAATTATAACTTCATCTCAAGTACAAATGAGAAAAAATTCTTACTAGGCACAATGCTTTCATGCTTGGCAAAGTTCAAACCATGAAACTCAATTCACAGCATTGTTTCTCAAAAGAATTTAATTTGATGCACAGTTTTTCACCACAGCAGAACTGAGTTTAACTTTACTACATCTCCTAATTCAATGCCTTAAAGCTTTTATACAAGAATAAATTACCTGGTTTTTGATGATGTTTTTTACCAAAATGACTAGAAAGTCAGAAATACACCAAAAGCCATGAACCCTACGAATACCCTTTGGCAGAAGGTGGGCTACCAACTTCCAAGCTTTTTTACGAAAATATAGAAGAATAGGTGGGAATCTTTGATTTGATCACTGGCAAACATTCCTGAAAGAAAAACAAAAAATTGTATCAAAACCTTCTCTCATCATTGTACTTATCGGTTACTTGTAAAAAAGCATTTTATAACAATACAATTAGGATATAATTTAAATCTTGAGCAAACAGTATAATTCTCTTACCCTGCCACCATTCTGTTCCAGCTCATGAAGGGCATATGTGATTGTTTCTTTCAGATTCTTGTTCATCATCCTTTTAGCTAACTGTTTAAGACAAATGAATATAACTTGGTAGATATAATATTATGAACCTCAAAAATGAAATTATAATCAATTGCTCATGTAGTATTTGCATGCCTCTTAACTTCTTAAGCTGTCTGTGTTTACATAAAGTAACAATAAAAGCAACATATCCACTCAATAATAATTATCTAAAAAAAAAAATCAACTCCACAGATATTTTCATTCATTAATCATTTGTTCATGAGTAATAGCAAATGGCTCAATACTTACAGCAACCAGCAGGTTCTTTAAATGAGGGTTTAAAGCTGGTCCTACAGCTCTGCTCAGCTGAACTAAGGCATCTAATGCTGCTTCAAACACTGTCACCTCAGAATCTCCCTGTGGAAGAAAATTATTTTTTGTTTGTATTTTAAGCAAATAACTGAGCATGTTGGTTTTGTTAAAAAATAATTCAATATTTCCACAATTTATAATGTCAACAATTTGATTTAACATTTTTCTTCAAATGTTTCAAAATTGTTATCCCAGGTAAAGTCTCATTGTATACTGATTAAAAACAAAACATATGCCAAATACGGACCAAAGCTGCTCTTAAAGGTTGCACAATTTTCACTAGCAAAGGTGCAGCCATCTCTCCTGCTGCAGGGATGTCTAGCAACTCTTTGAATCCAGCTCTTGCCACAAATGAATATGGATGAACAGTCTCTCGTAAACCCTGGGAATATGATCATATTCTGAGATAAAAATGCATGTGAGGTGTCAGCAAGTGAAAGTTACTTAGTTTAACTGGTGTTCCAGTGATTTCTGTTTCCAACATTATAAAAACCACTTTGACAGACAGATTATGCCATTTCTTCATTATATTTTCTCCTAATAAAGTGACTTATTTCTTATACCAAATATGACAAACATGATATCAAAAAATGCACTGATAAAAAAATAATGTCCCTCATATCACAATCCTATTATATATGTTCTTTCCTGCATGTGACAATTATTCACCACTGCAGTAAGTGAAGCTCAGCAAATTACCTCTGCTAAGGTGACTAGTACTGGGTCAAATGGTACATGTTCCGGTGGAGTGCTCCAAGCTAATTTGTGTTTCACAGATCCATGAACCAACCTTTAAAAATCATATATACTTCTGCATAGAGATTCCTTTCAGCACATATCTGAGATATAACTCTGATTATTGCACTGATTATTCAGTTATTTCTTTAAACTTATTCAAATAAGTAAGTTAATGAATAAATACATATCAATCTCTTAAAAATAATAAAACAAACTCACAAGAAACATATTTCTGTGGTATTCTATGGAAAGTGTTATGGTGTTAAGTATTTTGAAATTTTGTACATAGCATATAACACAAACCAAACAGTTTTGTACATTTTTTTCATTCTTATCAAAACATGTACCTGCAAGGAACTCCACCATTTGCATACACAGAAGCAAAAGATGTCTTGTACTTTTTTCCACCGCTAAACTGAAGTTGAAAGAAAGATAAATAAAAGTTTAAAGAAACATTTGCATTTATAAAAATCACAGATAACTTAATGTTGAGATTTTAAAGACGTACATGTAATATACTACAATTGTAAACACCTCAAAATTATCAAATCCTCCATTACACATAAGTTTTCAGCATAAGAAAAAAAAAGATCACAATTAATGTAATATGACGTAAATAACCAAAATATTTCTTATAGCTGTTTCTGCAATGACCTACAGGATCAACAGTCTTTGGGTTAAGTTTATCTGAAGGCCTTGTCACTTTTGCTGCAGATCTCAATGCTGGATCATCCAATGCACTGGCAGATGCAGACTTGACTGGGGCCCGTCCAGATCCTCCTCTGTTTGTTGCTGATGATCCTTTATGTCCAGGCTTGACTTGCCTGGTACTTGCCATAGTTTATCACATAAACTATTTCTTTATGTAATGTGGATTGAAACACTCCAATATCTTGATCTCATCTGAAAGACCAAACAGACAGAAGTGTTACATATCAGCAACTGCAGATCACCCAAGTAACTTTTCAAACTGATTGCTTACTAAAGAAGAATGTGCCAAACTATCGTGTAGGATAATTACTACAGGTGACATTCATCCAAATAATTATGAGAAAGTTCAAGAGATTCCGTGAAGTCCAATCGTGAGATGGTGGAGATCTCAACTATAAGTAATGGTAAACTTGTAGACTTCAAAGCTTGTATTTTTAGGTTTACACAAAATTAGTCTTAAAAAATGAGTACTTATTTAAGCATGTGTCTTACTGCAAATGTAACACAACTGTTACATTTATGCCAATTGTAAACGGTCCCATTGAATAACACCGAGGCGATTAATCCAAATAAAGAGTAGTGTTGATTGTTCATCATTCATTCAAAATTGAGAAATGCTTCAAAGTTATTACCTTGTCCGCCATAATGTAAATATTGCCATTGATATAGGTGGCGCTTATGAGATAGCGAAAATATGGTGCTCCCATTATCCTGTTAGTGCTTCTTGGACTAACACTGACATCTATTGATAGTTTCAAAGCTCGTGCACCTGTTTGCACATGCGTAATGGGTTGCTAAGTCAAAATCTCATATAGGATATATTCTTCCGCGTTGGTTAAAAGTGATCATAAAAGTATTTTTAATTATCTTTTTATATTTATATAAGCTTTGAAAATTCCCTCACATATGCATTTAACAGTATGAATTACATTACATTTTCTACTAGCTGTTTAATAAAGGTGTTAATTTCTTAGTGGAAGAAACTTTGTTGTCATCTACTTTGTGAAACGTCGGTGGCTCCATTTATCGAAAGTCGAAACTCGAAGCAATAAATCGACTGCATTTTAGGACACAAAAAGCAATGTTCCTGAAGTAGACTTATGAAAAAGAGCTGCTAGCATAGTCAAAATGGATGCAAATATTAGGACGCTTCTAGCTTCGGCCCAAAAATGGGGTGGAAGTAAGTAACATCACACACTTGAATACTTGAGTTAAGAAGTTCAGTTTACATCCCAAAAACATACTGAATTAGTTGTTAGTTGAAGGGCCAATCCTGTAAAGTGGCATGCATTGGCATGGCCATTGTAAATTGTCGCTGAATATAAACGGTTTAAATTCATTTTGTTGACAAGTCTGAGAGATTCTGGCAAAGTTTAGATGAAGAAGATTGTCAGCTTGCACCTCCTACAAGTATAATGTATGTGTGAAACCATTCAACTCTTCCATTAACTGTCATCTTCACGTTTTTTTTTCTGCAAAAAAAGCACAGGGATTTTTTCAAGTATTGAGATGATTTTTGTGAAAATCTGCTTGCTTGTCATAAAACAGTTTTACCAAAGCCTAGATAAATCCATCACTCCCACAATTGATAGAATGAAGAACAATTGCAAGCAATCTTCCAGTTTTCAACTTATATAAATGACAACTGCTCTGCATCGAAGGAGGGTCAGACACAGAGAATTTTAACTACATAAGGGATTCTCCCCACTGCAACACTTTAAAAAACATGTCTTTCATAGTAATATAGTATGTTATGATCCTTTTATAGTCAAAGTAGTTAGATTGCTTCTTACATGGTTATATTTATATCATACATGGTTCTCTGAGATAGTATCTAATAAATGATCTTGACCCATTTTTACTCTGAAAGTACCTTTAGCTAACACCTAGTGGAATAACTGTTGCAGGCAAAGAAGGCATAGCCTACCTGCAGCATGCATATAACCTGATGAGGAATGTTGCTGAAACAAAGCCAGCAGTGGATGCACCAGAGTCTTTTAGCCAAGATCTTTTTGTCATTTGTGCTGAAACTTCTTTCCAGGTAATTTGTCTTTTTTGTTAAAGTGTCCATATTGTGGGTGGTTACCATTTTAACTAAATCATAACTCTTGTAGTTGATAAATAATAAAATAATAAAATTTGTAATAAAAACAATGAAAAAGTCACATTTGTCAATCGTATAGTTATAATTATGAGAGTTACTTGAAGGCACTTGTAAACCTGTAATAAACCTATTGATAATTTATCTAAAGATGCAAAAAAATGGGAAAGGTAAATAACACATAAAATCCTATCAAATGCTCATTTCATAGTGTTCTTATCAATTCTTATTTTTCAAAGCTTGGCCAGGCTGACATGTCAAAGGAATGTCTGAAGATGTACTTTATGAAGACTCCCCCAGCCAACCAGTTCCTGTGCAGAGCCTACCTATGTCAGTCCCAATTGCTGGCTCCAACATCTGCAGAAAACCCTGTACGTATTAAGTGCAAAAAAAAAAAAAAAAAAAAAAAAATATATATATATATATATATATATATATATATATATATATATATATATATATATATATATATAATAAACCTGTTTTATATGTGCCTTCATGGCTAAAACTGATCATGATTGAGAGTACATTCATGTGATAAAATAAACATGCTTAACACCTTGTACATGGAAAAAGCAAAATGGTAAAAAATTACTTTGATTTTTAAATATTTTTTCAGGAACAGCTTGATAAGGCTGTAGTTTATCTGGTTAAAGCAATCACCTTTGCGAAAGAAAACCCAAGGTGAGGTTTTAGTTAGTTTTAAAAGTGCTTAATAAATAACTTTCTCGAGATTGGCTAGTGATTTTACACATCAATGACTATCTGTTATATGAACTATCTTAACAATCATTCATGCACTGAAATATTTGCTTTCTTTCAGATACCACTTTTTGGTCTACAATGCTTCAGTGCTTTACTGGCAGTTTTGTCGACCTTTTTTGAAGCCAAATTATAGGCGTTATCTTGCCCAAAGTTTACACCAAGTGGTGAAAGCATTGGATGACATTGATGACAAGGACTTTGAGTGGAGGGCACAATTGATGATGTAAATATTTATAGTTTGATATTTAGAAAGTATTTGGAAAAAAGTTCTTCCAGCTTAGAAAGCTGCATTAAAGATTTGAAAAATATGAAGCATTTTTATGGGACCATTTTGCTACTGAATGATTTTTAAACCTCTTCACTTATTTCAGAGCTCTGATAGAATGCCACATAGATGCTGGCCGCCAGTCTGATGCCTCTATGGTAGCAAGTGCAGCTGCTACTTTCATCAGACAGAATGTGCCAGGACTTTTTAAGGAGTTTTTTGGCTTGGCTGTGAGTGATCTACAGTGATCTCACACACACACACACCCACGCAGACACACAACAACACACACATGCACACACATGAACTATATTTTTGGTCACAAATTTTATTTTCTTATTTCTTTACTGTGGTAATATACCTGTATAATGATGTATTCCTATGTGAATTAAAACCTTTACCAGATATGACTTTATCCTGAGTTCTTCTTTTTACAGATCAAACACCAACTTGTTGAGACTGTGAAGTTTCATAAAGACATCAAAGCATCTCCTGAATTGTCCATTTACTACAGAATAATCCGCCTGAAAATGTAAGTGGCAAAAAGATTATGTAATCTATGCTACTGCATTCATATTTTGTTTATGTATTTTAAATTGAATAAAACAAGTCAAATGGTTATAAATAGGTCATTACTATGCCAATTTATATTTAGGAATGTTGAAAATAAAGACCCAGATGTAGATGCACCACTTGAACTGAGAAAGATACTGAGTCTTTGCATGGGAAAAGATGACAGGTTGATATCTGCTGACACAAAGAGTGGAAAGAGGCCTATCACACCAAAAAAGGACCGTGAAGACAGTGGTGGCAGGTATGAGAAAAATATCTTAATAGTTTTTTTATGTACTTAGTACCATTGAATAAAATACAAAACTCTCTGTAGACATACCTACTTAAAAAGACATCATTTGTGCTTAACTCACTGTTGTTAATTAAGTGAATTGATGTTATTTCATTTTGAAACAGTGATATAGCAGATGTAGATGAGGAACCTGACAGGTAACTCCAAATTGCAACCATCCTTGATTAAATGTTCTATGTTGCTGGTTATTTTTGCATGTTGATTATTGAATGTGATTATATAATGTGTAAATGCATGTGTATCCCCTATTTTGTGTTTGTCATTGGATCAGACACTGGGAAATCGTTCTCTAGATTTCATGCATGTTCAAATAAGCTTAAGTTAAAAAAGCTGATTTTGGGATTGTAGAGATGAAAGTCTACCAGATTTTCCCAGATATCCATTTGGGTGTTGTATTTATGCCCCCCCCCCTCTGAAACCCCCCCCTCTCCCAGAGATCTGTGAGCCCAAAATTTTCAAATGGTCCACTTTCATCTCTTTGGTTCAGATTTTATCGATACTTGCTTTATGTTGCTTTTAGTTCTACATATTTTGTTTTTCATGCTGATGCTTTGACTGTTATTTATGCTAGAACACTCATGCTTTTAGAGCTGTAAATCCCTGATGCACTCCATAGTTGCTTTTTAAATGTAGTATGTGATAAATATATATAAATTGGTTCAAATAGAAAAAACCTTTAAGGCCAGAGGGATATATAGATATAATCTGAACAAGTTGACTCCTTGTAGCATATTCATTCATTTTATCCTTTAACTATACACACATGGACTCTGAAAAACTAAAACTAAGTTAGCCATATAGGCATTTCTTCTTTCTTTCTGTTAGTATTATACAATTCATTACAGTAAAACCCCTGATCCTTCCATGATAGCTAGTGCTGTTACATCTTGGTAAGTGGGTTAGCACTGAGAATTGCTAGCACTTCCAGTCTGCTGAAAAAAAAAAAATTAACAAAATCATGAATGAAAGCAAAGTCCATAATGAATTGCACATATTTCAAAGCATAGCTGGCATTAATTGTGGTTTGCTGTTTTTCTTTTCACTGCACCTTGCACACTGCATGTAATGCGCACACTTGCACCATGTTGTGTATATTCTCCTTGATGGTGGCCTACTTTGAAAACTGCTGCACGTGTTATATGTAACCTGGGTTTTAACACAGACGACCTAGCATGGCTGTGTCTATGTCTCCTGCACCGTCTCAAGATTTCCTTGCACCGCATCCAACATCTGGTCATCGCCGACACAGTGTGGCAGTCACATCACTTGGCAGTTTACCTGAGCACTTGACAATGCATGAATCACATAGCCTTTCATATTTAGGCAGTTTGATTAATTCACCAGAGCCGTAAGTATCAATTTGTAGTTACAGTTTCAAAAAAATAAACAATATTTTGATGTCTAGATTTATTATGCTAGTTGGATGAATGTTTTATTAGCTGCTAGTAAATGCTAGATATTGCATGTATTAAACTTGGTTTGTTGCAGGTGTACCATTGAAACATTGAAGACCAAAGGACTTTCAATTTCTCTTTTTTTTCTGACTTATCTGTTTTTCCCTATGAAATATGATATGCTGATTTCTTAGATGTATGAATTTTTAGGCGGAGTCCAAAAAGTCGTTCAGGAACTGCTAGAGCTCAGACTCCAACAAGTTTAAAGATGCTTTCAGCTGACAGTCCGGAGAAGTGAGTTCACCGAGTGTGGCCTTTGTTGGCATGCAGCATTATGTGCACTTTATCATTTACAGCACTGTCATAATGCACATATGAAACATTTGCAGTTTCTTGCCAGTACTTTACATTTAAAGTGATATAGGCTTGATGTGTGTCAAAACCAAATGCATGATTATTTCATTTTTTATATTTATTTTTTTAAATCTCATTTATTATTTATCTCATCATATGTAAAGCACTCATTTTTCATTAATATACTCATTCATTCATCATTTTTTTTTTTTTTTTTGTTATTAATCATCTTTTCAAGGCTACTTTGTAATTTTATTTGTATGAATAGATTAATACAATTACAGCAGATGGCACAAAGTAATTAACAGTGTGTTGCAAAATGACACCAATTTTTAAAAAGGCTTGAAAATTCTTAATGAAAAATTTAATACATTAACAATAGATATATTAAATCAATGTGTGATGTTAACACTTATTACCATTTTGGTACAGTAATCACATTGTGTATGCATGCTATTTTAACTATGTAGCCTGTAATGTAGTGTAGAGAAAAGGCAACAAGTTTTCATTTATTTTTCTTTGCTTTATATGATAACATGATGTGGCTTGGTACATTAATGCAAATTGCATTGTGCAGAACAATGAATATTAGTTAGCAGTGTCTGTCTGAAACTAATATACAACTTTTTCCAGATACAGCTAGCCAGCATGCTCAGTGCAATCTCTTGGTCTGGATGATCACATAGCATTTTCTACTGTGCATAATAGTTTAATAATTTTGCTTTTATATTTTTATTGCCTAATTGTGTAGCTTAATAAAATCATAAATGATTAATATGTTTCATGAAAAATTATCCTTTTTCTCATTAATTATTACAATATTTAATTAAATTACAGTATTTTTTATTGCAAACATGTTTATCTTTTAGTATATTCACAATTTAAAAGAAAAATGGCTGTTTCTGTATAGATATTGTCCAATGTTTAATCTGTAATAGTGGATCTTAAAGATCTGATGAAGTATCTCCTATGTTATATTTCAGACCATACTTGTTGTTAGAGCTAGCTCGTCTTTGCCTAGAGCTGCACCAGTCAGACTTGGCAGAACAGTGCGTAGAACACATGAAGAGCTGTATTGCCAAGGTGAAACTTATTTTTTTTCTACTATTTCAAATGTTTATTTACTTAATTTTTTGGTAGTAGTAGATATTATACACTTAAGTTGAGATTTTTGAAATTTTCACATTTTTTTTCTGACTCTGTGACTGAGCATAGTGTCAAGACCAAAAAATTAATATTCTATTCATATGTTCATTTGTTTTATTTCAATTTAGGATCAAGGGTTTTACTTGGAGACTGAATTTGTTGAGTGTGATCTGATGGTGAAGAAATTGGGAGATAAGCAGGAAACCTACCAGAAGGCAGCAGTGGATGTGAGTATACATTAAGATAACTTTTATTAATGCAACAAAATCAAATTTTGATATAAACCAGTTGTTCTGAAATATTATTGATGATAGCATACAGTATGCTGTTGTAACTTGCAACCATATAATAAATAGAAATTTGTTATTGACTTTGCACTTGTTTTTGCAAATGCTGGAATTGTTGTGGTTGATAGCAGACATTGTGTATTGTTTTTGACTTACTGTTTTCCAACCTGGTACATCTTTCTTTTAGGTTCGTTTGCAGGCAATAAAGCGCTGTGAAGAAGCCCTGATGAATGCTTTACGGCTGGGGAACCCCAATGTGATCCAGGCTGGTTGTGTAACACAGTGGAACCTTTGTCTGCCTTTACTACAGGCCAACCTCAGACAGCATGTGAGGAAACCTCTCACATTGGTGGCCACATCACTGGAAGATATTCAGAGGTATTAACTTCAATGACACCTCTTTTTTCCTTTTTGAATTACAAAAAAAAAGAAATAGAAAATACAATTAATTATTCAAAGTGGGAACAACAGCAGGGTGTGTAAAATACATAAAAAAGTTTCTGAATTTTATTCTGTCAGATGTGAGACGAGAAATGGATGTACTTTGTTATGGTGCTGTTTCATAATATATCAGTTTGAAAGAATCAGGAACTAAAATCTTATTGATCATCAATTGTAGTTAAACTGGATATATCATATGGGTAATACGATGTTATATTACTTTTAAATTTCTCATTGTGAAAAAACTGCACCTTGTTTTCCTCCTTTTTAGTTTGTTGGTTCTGTTGCGCTGTCAGATACACACTGAGCTGGCCAAGTGCGAGGAGGATGAGGAACAGATTGAGGTTGCTATGGAACACCTGAGAAAGGTGAGAAGTGCAACTTTTTATATTTACTTTTGATGGTAGGGCTTTCAAACAGTGCCTGTCTTGCCTATATAGTTACATGGAATTACATGTACATTGATATCAGCATCATTTTAGGGATTGTTGATTTGGCATATGGTTGAGTGGCATATAAAAAGTAAATTGTTTATTTTTGGCAATCAGGCCCTTTCATTGGATGATGGCAACATTTACAAAGAGCGTTTAGAAGTGACCTTGCATAGACTTCAGCTGAGGGCAGAACTGTACAAGCAGCCAGAGAGACCAGAGGACCAGGCTGCCATGATCATAGAGCAGGTATATAGTTCATTGTGACCTTAATGCCTTACTGGCTAATCCAATTCAGACATTCTTGGGCTTTAATTTTGTTTTAATTTTGTAACTCTGCCATAATCATTATTACAAGACAGCTGAAAAATGAATTTATTATAGTTTCTGTAACAGTTTGTATTTAATAAACTAAAGTTATTTTGACTTGAACATATTTGCTAAATCATGCATGTGTTTTACAGGCCAGGAAGTCAGAAACTGGCACTATCAGGATGAAGAGGTCACTCCTTGTTAGGGCTGGACAGGCTTTGGCTCCTGATGCTTTCCTCTTGGTCCTTGATAGTGAAAGTGAAACAAAGGGTGAGTCCAAATGAAACTAAGGTTGAATTAAAGTGAAACTAAATGAGAGTTAAAGTGAAAATAAGGATGTGTCAAAATGAAACTAAGGGTGGGTCTCTCTATATGGCTGTGTGTGTTCTGCAGTTACTTTGTCATTGACTTGGACAGCATTATTTCTTGTTGTTTTGCAGAGGTGACAGAATCCAAAGGTGTTCTGACAGTGTTTAAGAAGTTAGCTGGAAAAGCAAACAACTTCACTCACTGTATCAAGAAAGCTAGTGGTCATCTGAAAAGACTGGGAGATGAGAACGATAGAGAGAGGTAATTTAAAATGGATGAGTTAGATTTAATGGTTTCTACTAAATAGCACACTGGTTGTTGTTTAGGTATTAAGTGGTATTAAGTTTTATGGGTCCAATTTTATGAACTGCCATTTTTGTGATAGTGTGTTGGAGTAATGTATAAGACTGTGGTATTTCACGCATATTGCCTTGCATTTGCATAGTGCTTGTAATGATGTTAACTTGATATGCCAAAGATTTTGTTATATTTTCTTTTTAATTTATTCTTGTACAGAGCCAGACTGTGGGGTGATCTTGCCAAGGTGGCCAGGAAGCAAGAGGTGTGGGATGTGTGCAGAGTGGCCTCCAGATTCTGCCTTCTCTATGATGATGGAAGATGGAAAATAGTTGAGGAAGTGGAGAGGTAAGCCTTGTTTGTAATAAACTTCTTTTTTTCGAAATTTTTGTAATACATTAATAATGTATATGCGTGTTGTGTCCATGTTCTTCCCAGTGGTATTTTAGCAGTTTCAGCAATGGATTTATCATGTATCTATTAAGTTTAATATAATTATTTAATAATTAGTTTAATAGTTTAATATTAGTTCAATATAATTGTTCAATATTTTAATAATGGAGTGGTCTTTTAAATTTCAGTCCCAGAAAGCCCAGGTCCAAGTCGGAGGCTAAGGCTGTGGCAGAGGGTCAGGATGAGACAGGGGGAGATGCGACCCCACAGCCCCCCAAGACACCAGTCAGCCGGCCAACAAGCCAGCCTGCTGAGGCAGGGTCTCTCCTCTATGACAGGGACCTAGTGAGGATGCTAGCTGAGGTCAACTTTATCATGGGAGAGGTAGGTTGAGTTTGTTTGTAAAACAAGTCAAACATACCCTGTACATGTGTTGTTTTATTGGTATAAAATTAAAGATTATGGTACAGAGGATCTAATGTAGAGATTTTATGTAGCCTGTTGTTATAAGCAGGTAATGGATTGTTTGGGCTGGTTTACAAAAACAGATGGCAGGGATGAGGCTTTTTTTACCAGCTTTAACCAGAATTATCTGATTTTTTATCCCAATATTTACATAATCTGGAAGATAATGAGAAACTTTCATTATAAAAAAGTTTTCTTTAATTCAGCAGCTATGTAAACCATATGCAGATAGAATAAAGCTCTCAATTTTAATACATTGATTCATTGTTCCCATTCTAATTTACTGCAGGCTTTGATCCACCTGTTGAGAACTGAGCATGTAGAGCTTGGTGACAAGCCCATACCACCTGAAGACAAAAGTAAGAGACCAAAGGGATATGTGCCCAAAAAGCCAGAGGAAGATGAAGACTGGATTGCTTACTGGTGTGTATAAAATTCCAACTTTACATCTTATTTTTCTTTTAACTTTTGTTATATTTGAAATTGTGTTGGCAACTGCTGTGTGTATGCAATAAGTTTATGTGAAAGTTTTTATTAGGCAAGTTTACATAAAAGATGTTTAGTGGTATGCATGCCCATTTAGTAATGTTTGTAAATTGGAAAATTTAAGAAGTTACAGACATGAAGGCACACTGTTAAAATGAACAATATATCTTTGTCTTTACCCTTGTAAGATGATTAAATACTTTAAAGATGAGGAGCAATTGTAATTAATATGCATCCCTGCTTTATAGTGATTGGATCAAGGAGCTGTCCAAGGATGGCACTGACCACTTCCTGAAGGCTGTCCAGCATGGCATTCAGCTAAAGGAGCCATGGATAGTATGCAGTGCTGCTGCCTATGTGTGGAACTATAACAACCACAGGCTGACTCAGAACAGACACAATGAGGTCGTAGAGGATCTGCAGACTGTACTGGATGGCCTTAAGAAAATTGGACATGACAGGTGAGAATGACCTGTTTGGAAGTGAGCTGTGATATCTTAATGAAATAATTCTTCTGCTATGAAAAGAGGATTATTCTGGTGCAGTATAGTAGGACATGACAGTCTTATACAAATTCTGTTGAATGAGTTTAGATCTAATTAAACTTCATACTGCTTTTCTATCAACTTTACTGTTATTTCAGTCATTGTACTTTATAAGCATTTGTTTTCTTGTGTATTTTGTTATTGAACTCTTTATGATACAGCTAAATGACTCTTGTTTATAGTGAAACAATCCTGTTGGTGTACATCTGCTGTGCCTTGGCCTATGGCTTAATACAGCCCTGGCTTCCACCTCCACCTCCTAAAGAAGCAGTCCTGCCACCCCAGCCACAGATCCCAAAGTCTGCGGATGAAGGGGGGAAGAAGTCTGCCAAGAAAGCACGCCCACCACCCCCAGCAGCAGCAGTGGCAGCAGCCAAAGGAAAACCAATCCCCCAAGTAAACATCAGCCCTGATGCTGCCCCTGATCTGAAGAAAGCTATGGAAGTAAGAATGATGATTTGATCCTGCATATTTTGTGTAAACAGTTATTGATGTCAGTTTTTATCCAACTGTGGATTTTGATTATACTCAACCTGTTAAAAAAATTTTTTTTTAAAGCAGTGTCTTAAATTATTGTGGATAGTTTAATATCATCATCCCTTTCACAGATTAAATTTGCATAGTTTTCCCTGCAAACTTTAATGTAATAAATATATTGTAGGTTATCCAGTATGCCATGGATGTGACTAAAGGCAATGTTGCTGCAGATATAGTCCCCATTGCTGTCAGATACCCCATGATACAGCTCTGGGTACAGATCAAACAGCTTCAGCAACAGGCCATTCCCAAAACTCTTGGAACTGATGATGAGGTGATTCTAACTGATTTTATTAGAAACAATCAGCAGATCCTAAGATATACCACTTTTTTTCATGGACTTTTAAAAATGTTTTATTTTGTAATTTTATTATTGTTGCTTATTACAGTGAAATTTTTAAGCTGACATTTGCCAAATTTTATAGAGATAAATATAACATTTCATATCTTTGATTGTTTTACCACAGTCCAGCATGGAAGGCCAGAAACCCATGACAAGAGCCCAGGTTGCCTTGGAGATGCTGTCTCTCAGCACTAATGGTATCTATGAATTCAAGGATGCGACACCATTGGCAGAGGTATGGAACATCATTATTTGATACTTGTGGAACTTTTTCCAATTCAGATGTGGTCATTTACATATATGTATAGCAGTTTCTGTAATTACAATCACTGGTCTCTGCTTTGATGTTCATGGTTCAATCACTAACTGTAAAAGTAGAACAAGGCAGTGTGATTTTCCTTAATCATTGTCAGAACACAAAAAAAAATGAGAGGACAGCTATATTGAACTGTCCACAGTTTTTTACTGCCTTGAGTATTATCAAAAGTTTTATAGAGAAAACAAATATTTTATATGAAGACATAGGCAGAATAAGGTACTGCAATATTAGTTATTTAGGAAAATGACTTACATGTAGATAATTTATTACCAGAAAAGATTTCTCTCTTTCCAGGTGGTAGGCATGGTGGAGGCCTGCAAGTGGCCAGACAGGCTGATAGAGCTGGTCATCTGGACCAGGCTGGCCCTACTGGCTCATGAGATCAAGGACCACAAGCATGTCATCAAGTGTGCTAAGAAAGCATTGGCATTTGAGAAAATGGGCACACAGCCAAAGGGAAGGAAACTGGATATGTAAGTTGATCTGGTTCTTTTAGTACAGAGGTTGTAATTTTATTTATTTATTTATTTATTTATTTATTTATTTATTTATTTATTTATTTATTTATTTATTTATTTATTTATTTGCAATTATTGCAAGACAAAAATAGTAATTCTGATTTTGGAAATTTTTTGTTAGGTTGACATTTATTTATAGGTTTTCTTAACTTGCAAAAAGGATATTATTGTAGATTTGTATAGTACAAAACTGCTCTGAAATGTAAAACAAAATGTTCATTGCATCACTGAATAATATTATAAGTTGCCTTTGGTAGGAGCACTTTCAATTCTGCCTAACAGCTTTCATTAAATAACCTACAAATAATGTTGCACATCAAGTAAAAGAGTTTATATTCTAAGTAAATAATTGTTGCATGTTTTTCTGTAGGCACAAGTACGTGCTGGAGCAGGAAATGCTGGCCTATGCAAGCAGCATCCTGGGTCAGAGCTACATTGAGAACATGGTTGGCAAGAACTCCATAAGGAGGGAAGCCATGAACTGCTTCTTCTTGTCTGCACGGTAAGCTTATAGCACATTATATCACATCACCATTTTATCATTATCTCAAGAAAGTGTCAGTAGTTTCAGTTTCATTTTGTGTACCTAAATTGATTTAGAAATAGAAGAATTCAGAATTATTAAAATACTGTGTTCTTTTATGAGATTTAAAATGATGCATACTGGTAGCTTACATTCAAAAGCAGATTGATTTGTTTTAAAATTATAGAATTAGTGATATTCTCTCTATTTCTCTCATTCTTATAGTTCCAGCTAACCAGAATTAGGTACACTGTTCCCAGGTGCAAGTCTTTGAGCTTTTGTTGAGTTAACAGGTTATAATAAGATATCTGAACATTCACTTGTGTCTGTGAACTGTTTCAGGTTTGCTCGTAATGCCAACAACTATGACCTGGCTCTGATAGCAGCCAAACACTACTGGAATGCCAGCCTACCCCTGGTGAGCCAGCCAATAGAGAGAGAGCTGATTAAAGAGCCTCTGAGTTCTATACTGCAGTGCCTCTCAGTCACCTCTGGAGACAGGGGAAAGGAAAGAGAAAGACAGGTAAATATCATAGGAAAGGTACATTGCTTATGTTTAAGCTTTGTGCTTATTCTGATTCCTTGTGAAATGTTCACGTTTGCAGTTTGCCCACAATTTGCTTTTTCACTTTATTACAGAGCCACACGTGTCTGCCACAGTCTCTGTGACACAAATTGCTTGTAACAACTATTTCACCAATTTGTATCTTGTATCAGATCATGTTCCGTTTCCATTGGTGTTTCCAGAAACGTGTACACTGTTTTGTTCACCCTGTGAAGACACCTGGTTGTGTACTTAGTATATCACTTTCACAGTTAATGTCACGTCATGCTCACATAGCAGTCATCTCCAATGTTGTAATTTTTCACACCTCACTGCCAAGGGTGATTTGTATTCAAGCATAATTTTCATGTTCACTTGGTGTTTTGTAGCTTGTCACATAAATGTTCATTTTGTTTGTATGATGATGTTTTTCAGGAAATGGAAATGGAGAAAGAAAAGAGAGTATGTAATTGAAAAAAGCCGCTGCTAGTATTTAGCATGTTTGCCTAGGCTTTATGGCAATAGACCATAAACTGACTGCTATACCCCAGCTTCTTACAATTAGTTGCCTTGCATGACCCAGCTTCATCTTTGCCTGTTTTTAAAATTTTTCTAATTTTTTATTTTAAAAATAAAAAAATAAATACATGCTATGCTGTTCTCTTCTTGGTTTATAGAAATCTTTGAAAAGTGTTTTGCAACACAGTTTTAATTTGCTTTGTCAAACAGGCTGATAAGTATGTGGACTTCTGCATGCATTTTTATGCTAATTTGAAATATAGCCATCAATTTTTTTTACAATATATGAATGAAAAGAAAATAGTAGAAAGTCATTTTGGATCAGCTATGAAGCTGCACTTATAATATCTGGTCAAATATAAATGGGTGATTAAGTTTTTTTAAGTCAGGTGAAGAGTTTAACCTGCATGTTAAATCCTTGTTTTTTTCTCAAAAACTTCTTTAGCATCTAGACGAATACCAACCATCTGAGTGCTATTATCCCTTTGTAGGGCCATGGTGTTATTTGGTGGTGGTTATATAACATAGCTTTATCTTTTTGCCCAATTTAGATGAAATAGGTCAAAAAAAAAACAAAAAAACAGAAAGAATATACAGTATATATATATATTTTATTTGGTTGTATGAAATGTTGACATTGAACTATACAGAAGTAGTTGACATCATAGTTTGACAGCTGTTTATGCTGTTACAATTGTGCCTCTTGTATTGCAGGAGAGAGAGAAAAATGCAGCAAAGATGGCGGGTACAGCAGATGCTGTAGCTCCAGTGGTACCAGGCAGTACTTCAGATGTCGCACCTACGGGGGCCGCAGTAGTGCCTGCCAAGGAGGCCAGTCAGGTGGCAGGGTCTGTGGTTGGTGGACCTGAGGATGATCTCACACTTAGAGCTGCTATGTATGGAGTGCTGTTCCAGTCTTATGCTGACAAGGTATTTCAAGAATAGGATATACCATACTGAGTACATTCATGAATTAGTGCATGCCTCAGTAGAAAAATTCCAAATCATTATAATATGCACATATTTGTATGTCATGTTTTTTTCTCTATTAAAACACTTGATTGAATTTTGCAAAAACAAATGTCTTCTTTTATTTGATTTTTTAGGCTTGATGATCTAATTTGAATGAAAAATTAATATTAATGTGTTTTTTTTCTTAAATAGGGAGAGTATGAGGCTGGTTTGAAGGCAATGGACCAAGCAGTGATGGACATGCCCAGAACCAAGCATAGACTGTAAGTTGCACACATAGAAATACAGAAAAATCTGAGTAAATATAAAAATGAAGATGATATTTTAGTTGAATAACCTTACTTGTATTGCCAGTGTTAAGATATGTTAGAATTATTTTGAGGCATATCCATCTTATGTATGGTAAGTAACATGTATGTGACCTGTTTATTTGTCATCATTCCAGGTTGATTTTCAAGCACAGAGTTATTGTGAAAGCCAAACTAGGTAGAAATGTCAACATGGACATTCAGAAATTCAAGGTAAAATTGTTACATAAGTTTTGATTGAATTAATGAGAACAGCCAATATGACACATTTCTGAGTAGGTGATGTCAATAATTTGTTCATTTATAAATTGCCAGAAAGTTTCCATGAATTACTGCAGGAACAGGTTTTAAGTAAGTTATTGATTTATACTATTCTGTTGTATGTTTCAGGATGAGAGTGAGGACTATGTGGCACATATGTGGAGAAAGGTAGCATTGTGCTCCAAAGAAGAGCTGGATCAACTGGCCTGCTACCAGCAGGCTGTAGAAGCTCTTTCGGTAAGAATTTGTTATAATTTATTTTATTTTGAAAATTGGGTTGTACAGCCTCTCGTTTTTTCCACCATTTTGAACATGGCTTGAGAATGTGCACTATGACATTTGTTTCTAATATAAAACAAATTTCAATTTTTTTCAACAGAGTGAAACCAGTGACTGGCAGAAAATTGACTGTCTGATAGAGTTTGGCCAGTGGTTGTATGTGAATGAATTCCCTCTCCAAGATGCCCTGGACCAGCTACAGTGGGCAACAGACATTCTGCTCAATATGAAGTTTGAGGATGTGATGTCCAAAAGAGAAGGTAAGACCCTGACATATAGACAGGATTCAGGGTGTTGCATGGGGACAAAATTACCAAAAACCCAAATGTTTTTTTAAAATTTATTTAATTTAACAGGATTTTTTCTTATTAATGAATATTAGCATTATCTACAGTGCATAATTCCATCCAACGTTGTATTTTTCATTGCCTGTATACCTTAAGGTGAAATAGGTTGCACATAGATCTAAATTTTGTAATTGTTTTTTTTTTTTCACCACCATGCATCTTGTTTGTAGCAAAGATAAGAGGGCTAGTGAGGTTCTTGAATGGTATGCACCATATATTGTCACCTGTGTGCATTATACTATGTATTTTGTCAAATATACCACAATAAAAAAACAATTTTTTTGGCAATTTGATATTGTATTGAAATGTTTGAGTGTGTAAGATGATTTACTTTTCTTTGTGAATTGTACAAAGCAAAAGATTGTGATTCCATTTTGTGTTGAGGCCTATTTGTCTTCTTTTTCTTTCAAGTGATGCATTTTCTCTCTATGTAGAATGCCAGTTTTAGTAGAACTTGGCAATTAGAAACTGAAAGATACCATTGCTTTCTTAAAATAATTTGTTTTTGGCTTTGACGAAAAACATCATTTTTTCCGGGCTGTATATTTTATTTTATTTTCCTATATTTATTTCAAATTTAAGCAGTAATGTTGCATAGTGTTACTCAGTCTTTTTACCTTTAAGTCATTTCTACCCTTTACAGTAAATTAATGACTTGACAGTGATTGATAAATGAATCATACATTTTTTACTAATAAACTGTAGATAGTAACTTGGTTTGTTCAAGTCTGAAAATATATACGTTCTGTTTGTTTTCTCACCCTTTTTGTATGGTAATATGTTTTTCTTTCACTGTTTATTTGTCATCTAGCATTACCTGCAAAAGATACAGGGAAAGGTAAAGGTTAACTGCTTGAAATAATGTGTAGTTTACCGTTTATTGACTTTGAACATTGCTGTTTGTTAAAAATGAATATATTTAACACATTCTTCTGGTTGCTGAGTAGTGCCTGACGTTAGATGAAAGCATAGGTTTATGCATGAGCAGTGATTTCTTTCAATGCAGCATCTAGTATGCAGCATCTTTTATTTACACCTATCTCTTGAAGTACCTTTTAAGACAAGCACAGATACATTGATATTTAGTTGCAAGTTTTGATTCTCTTTTTACACACTGTATTGATTTAATCCAAAATGATCCTTTAATTTTTTTTTATTTTGGGACTATTCCTATTGCATGCTTTTTATTGAACTCAGAAGTATGTAGATGCTTGGTAGAAAAGAGGAGGAGAAAATGCTTTTATTTTGTTTTCCTATTAGTTGTAATAAATGCTTATTTTAATAGTACAGTAACAAAACATTTTAGTATCATTTTTATACAGTCTTCAGTTATTAAAAATGCTTTTACTCACATCTTTTTTCTTTAAATTAGAAGTATTTACAGGATTTTGGTAAGTTTTGCTAGCATAATAATTTTTTTTTTCAAAATTTTCTCCAGGAGGAAAAGGAGGGAAGAAGGGTGGTGGTGGCGCCAGTGCCCCAGCTGCTAAAAAGAAGAAATCCCCTCCAGCCTCTGCCAAGGGGAGCAAGCAGGCAAGTAAGCAGGCTGCAGCTGCAGAGAAGAAAGAGGCAGCACCCAGTATCAGCAGCAAGAGTGAGAGAGATTCAGAGGGAGTCATAAATGAGGCAGATTATGTGCCTGTACAGAAAGAAGTGGTCATAGGTAATACAACTTGCATTTTTATTGAAGAAATAAAATGTGTATAATTTATATAATTATGTTGTGCTCACAAGTTCGTTTTCATACCATTACAATGGAGCTAGTGATAAAACTTACACCATCTTTGCATACTGCCAACTGTCTCATGTAACTGAAATTACAAATAATACTCACAAGAAAGTTTGGTTATCCATTCCAGGTTAACAGCTACAAGTACATAAAGATAAAAGCCTTACATCTGATGTTATTATTTCTAGGTGTGTTACCCTCCAACCCCACCCTGAGTATCAAGGATTTGTCTGATGTCCAACAGTTGGAGGCACTGGTCAGAGTGCATGTGATGTTGGCTCAGGTATCAGGGAGGGCTGCCCCAGAGCATGGAGACTACTGCCTCATGGCATATGGTTACATCATCAGGATTTGGGAGGTGAGTCTGATATATAGGAATATCTGCCTGTCTGGTACAGAGACTTATGTTTTGCCTACATGATTGTTGTCTTGACTGATCATAATTAGAAACTATTCAGTTTATTAATTAGTACTTACATTGTGATGAAGCTATGAAAGTAGCCTATTGTGAACTACACTTTGTGTTACTGAAAATGTTGTTTCTACTTGCATTGTGCCCTCTAACATAATTTGTTGGAATGCTTGGACTTGGTGCCTTGTGTATTTGTACAAAAGTGATGTTGTATACATGTGCAGGCTTCATGTATAAAGTTATATATGTATTTGGAGGCATTTCTTGTTCTTATGTTGTATGTTTGTGTAGGCTTTCCTTCATGCAGCAGGTCCTATTATACGTGAGCTTATGAAAAAGGCCATGGAGGAAATGGGCAAAAGGCCCCAATCAAGGGTTAATATAACACCATTAATTGATGTGCATTATATTTTATTTGATGAAAATCTTATTTTGGCTATTTTTCTCTTTATGGAACAATGGTACAAGAATGATGTGGTTTTAGGAAAGTGTTTGGTTCTATTATTATTATTATTATTGTTATCATTATAATAATAATTATTAGTATTAGTATTATTATTATTAGACCCACAATGTATGACATTTTTTCACGTTTTTTTGTTGATACGTGTATGGTCTTGTAATAATTTTGGGAGATTTCGTTACCCCCTACTTTCCTTTTTTATTTGAAGAATTGTACCTTATTCATGAAGTGCATGTTGTTTTATTGATTTTCCCATTTTCAGAGTACTTTGTGTTATTATTAGTATCCAATTACCTGATTAAGATTTCCAGAGATTTTCGTCTGAATTAGATGACTAGCAAAAATGCTATGCTATTTAGTTTCTTTAAAAAGAAAAAACTAAATTATCTTAGATTTGTGATTCTTTGAATTTTTACCATATTTATTGTTATATATAAGGATACATTTCAGTTCAGTTCAGAGCTTTAAAAATCTCATTAGTTTATGCTGTCATCATGAAAGATTGTATATTATATGATATGATGTCCACCATTGTGGTTGCAGGTCTCTCTGGCCTCCTCTGGCCCTATAGCCAAGGAGATAGCCAAGACTGGAGGAGTGGACAAAGACAGGGGGTCAGCCAAGGGAGGAAAGAATAAGAAGCCTGACTTGAAGGATGTAAGTACAAGTTGGATACAAAGGACAGTTTCAAGTTGAAATGAATGGGATTTCTGTAAGAATAATTTCCCTTGCATTCCACATTTTTACCTTAATTCAAAGACAAGCATTTAAATTACACAATTAATTACATTATAAATTCATTAGGTTCAAATAATTTTTAATAAGTTTTTAAGTGTATCTTAAAGTTGAGAAATTGCTCACATATAAAAAGCATAATAGAATTACTGATTGAAACCCTGAAACAATTATCAACTGTTTCCATTTTCACATAGAAATGGCTTCATAGAGAACTATAACCTGTAAATTAATTGTCCCTGTATGTTCAGTTTAAAGCCTGGATGTCAAGGTGGCATAAGAGATTTGAACTAACACCCTATGGACAGGTGGAGAGTGTGTGGAATGCATCTGTTTTTATCTGCTATACAATTCAATGTATTTGTGAGAAATATGCTGTATTTGATTTTTATTTATTTATTTATTGACATGTTTCTATACATAAAAAATTCTTCATATTTACATTACAGTTGTGAATGGCATTTATTTATTGTTTCTGTTTGTATATTTATTATTTAGGTTAATTTTTTTGGGCTTGTAGTGCTGTTATGTCATTATTTTTATTTTGGTACAATATTGAGTGATGTAGTTTGTGACAGTGCCTGTAGATCCCATGTATTTTATTGCATACAAGTGTCCTTACAGACTCAGCTTTTTTGTGCAGATTAGTTAAGTTAAACTATACATACAATTATCATAGTCCTTCACCTCATCAGCACAATTTTTGTAGTTATAGTTAGTGGTTGTTTCAGTGAGTCAACTGGTCAGAGTCATAACTGTTTTTTTTTTCTTAGAATTCTTTTAAAGAAAATACCGAATTTAAATTACAGACAATTAAGGAGAAACCCAAGCGCAAAGGTCCCCCAGATGCTATGCCTGTATCACAGGAAGAATGGGCCTTGTATGATGTCCCAGACGAGGTAAGATATAATTATTCTAATTTTTTTGCTCACTTAAATTTGGTGTTTTGTATTGCAAGTTTAGAAATATGTAATTCCAATTTTTTTCATTTTGTTGTTTTAATAAAAAAGCTACAAGACTGGCATAACACCGCACATTATAATGAAGCTATATTTAATAAACTGTTGATGGCCGAGGGAACAACGCAAACTATTGGTATTTCTTGTCTTTTAGGTAATTGAAGCCATGAAGCATGAGTCCATTAAGGGAGCAGGGATCAACATCAAAACTATCAACAAGCCTGTGAGTAACAGAGTTGCTGCTTTGAATTGGTGCTGTAGAAAAGCATTTAATCATTATAAATATATTATTTAATTATTATTATAAATATTATTATTAAAATATACTTGCAAATAATTTGATTTTAATATCAAAATTTAAAAATTTGAGTAAATATCTGGCCTTGAATATTTTATCAACAAATTTCATTGAAAAGTATTTATACTTACAGCAGTGACTTTTATTCATCAAGTAACAGTTTCTCATTTCTTTTGCATCAAGACCCTGACCCTGTACTACATGGACCAGCTAGTGACCCAGCTCAGGGAGCTAGGCTACAATCAGCTCTGTCTGCCCATCCTAGCACTGATGGACATGATCTCCAGGGGGATTCTAGAGCACAGAGCTCTCAATGCACTGGTGCATTTCAAGTGAGTGCAAAGACTCCCACCCTGTTAGCAATTTCAAAATTGAAAAAAAAAAAATGGACCTTTTTTGCCCTCTTAATTGACCCAACTTGAGAAATGGCCTGGAACTTAGATCAAAATTGTCCTTTTGACATCTCCCCCTCCTTCAGGCCAATCAAAGACTTGTTTCAGAGTCCAAGCAGTGACTGTCTTCTTTGCCAGCATAAGCAATCCAGTTTCAAGACTTTTCATATTGACAATTTATTTTGCAGGGCCATGGAAGTATGCTACGAGTTGAACCTTACATCAGCGGCAGAATTTCATGAGAGGTTGGCAGGACCTCCAGGACTGAATGAAGAGGAGTTGGCAAAGTAAGTTAGGTTTTGGAAACATTGAAAGATTATAGGGAAATTGCTGTTATGATAGCCTAGCTGCCACATGCTTAAGGGCCACATGATAAGTCATTGTTGAAAATTATAACAAATTATGATCAGTTAACCAAGAAAACAATGTCAGAGAAACTGGATTACTTATTTTCCTACTGCCCAGGGACCCTGCATTTTAGACCCATAGTTGTTTTAGCTTAAAACCAATCTGAATGTGACCTAATTGACTTAATAAGACCAAAAATCATTAAATTACATGCATATAATTTATTTATTTATTGAGTGATTGAATTTATCTCAGGTCCAGAGAAGATATTGCCATTTGGAAGGAAAGACTGGCCCAGGTGGCAAAGGAAGAGAGCAAAGTTAAAGAGCAGATGGAGAAGGCTAAGGAAGAAAAGAAGGAGGCATTGGATGTGAAACTAAGGAGTCTGCAACTGGAGAAAAAAGCAGAACTTGACCCAACTGTTAAGGTATTTGAATACTTCACATTGTTGTTGAAAATTATTTCTGAAAGTTATATCTGAAGCACTTGATTTGATTAAAAAAAGATGAAATTGAATAAAGTAAGATTATGCTGTAAATAACAGACACAAGCACACATGTATGCACTGAACCAAACCAAATTATTTCAATTTTGTATTTAACCTGTAAGCTTAAATTGCATAGTTAATCTCAGACTATTTGCACTGTAACTGTTATAATGGCATCAACAATGATTGTCTCCTTACTTTGCAGGATGAAATGCAAGCACAACACTTAGGCAAGATGATGGGCAATGTGTTGATCCGTGATGTGTGGACAGACACTGCTGAGGTGTTGATAAGACAGGGTTACCTACAGCCTGCCAGAGACCTGCTTAGTGAGGCACTCAAAAACGCAAAGGTATACTAAGAGTGTGAAATAGGTTTTTTCTTTGTCTCTTGTATGTTGGTAAAAAGTAATTTTTTTCTCAAAACTAAATGTGTTATCTCCCTGTGATAAATGGTTCCTAAACACATTTTAGAAATGATATATGTTTTTCATACTGATATTTTTTAAATCTTTAGTACATTGAGATGTAAGTGTTAGCTTTTGTTGTCAGGGATACATGTCATTCTTGATGAATGAATTCCCCTTTGTGTTTCTTTCCTATTTATGAATATATGCATATTATTTTCCACTCGATGCAAAGACACACTTACTTTGAGAGTTATCAATAAATTTTTATTTCCACTCAGGCATTTGAAGATAAGCCTTTGATTGCCAGGATCCTTTTCCTATTTGGTCAGCTGGCCTTTAGTGAAGCTCAGTATGGCCAGGCTGTGAACTTCTGTCATGAGGCACAGGTAGGTTAGCACAGAAATCATAGTTTGGCATGCCAAATAATCTGTATTTTGGTGCAACTTGTTTATTATATCTTACCTGCATAGAACACTTTCTCATTCTTACACACTATACTCATTCTCACTGGTTATTACTCCTTCGAAGGGGTGTAAGTAATAGCTACCTGAATAGTAGCTACCTGAGTAATAGCTACATGTACCTGTATTTATCTCATTTTCACAGTATATGCCATTATACCTTTAAGTAACTATACTGTGCCATCACACCTTTAACAAACTATATAATACTATTATAATTAAAGTGTAAACTGTTAGGGTATTAAAAATGTGATATAACTATTTATTGCAGCTAACTCATGAATTGGATGAAATGTTTTGGTATCGCACCACAATGTTGATGATTGAAGCCACACAGGCGGAGTACAGCAACAGGAACAGGTTCAGAGAGGTATGTAGTGGTGGTTAACTAGCTTAAAACTATGTATTGAAAAATGTACTGTATTTTGTTATTAATTGTAAAAATTTTGTAACACAATCAGTGGAAATAGGAAAATATTTAAAAATGAGTTAATCATATAATAATTACAAATGTTCTGTTGGTTCATAAATTACGGTAAGTCACCTGAAAGTTCTTATTCTGTGATATGATTTAACTTGGTATTAAGTAGGAAATATAAGGTATATTTATTATTTCCCTCTGTTTCTATTATAATTAGGCTAGAAACATGTTGGTTCAAGCATTGAATATCTTTAGTGAGGTAGCAGAGGACAGACCAAACAAGCAGAGCATAACTGGCTACATCATGGCTCAGCTGGAAGCTAAGTAAGAAAACAGTATAGTGATAATTATAGTGGGGTTTTAGAATCTGAATTTAGTTATCTATTGATTTATTTACATGGCTTCTGATTTTTAATGTAGAGATAAAGTAAAAAGGGGAAAATTTGCTTGGGTTGTCTACATTCAACTATTGGTTACAGACAGATATATTTCCTGATTTGAACATTCCTATTTCTCTCTCAGGCTAGGTGAAGTACAGGTATCCATCACTAAAAGTTCCTACAGTGATATCACCAAGCCTAAGGTGACCAAAGCTCTGCTGTCTGCCTGCCAGAAGTTCCAGCACAGCTCAGATAAGCTCCTGACCCTGGGTTACAGAAGAGAGGCAGTTGCTGTACAGAAGACACATGCACAGGTGCTCTGGTCCATGGCCCTACAGTACCAGGACAGGGAGATCAAACATGGTTATTACTTACAGGTGAGGGTTCTTGAAACTTGAGCCATTATATCATTATATATGTGACATAGGCATGGACATAGAAGCACATTCATCTATAAACTTCTTTTGGAGGCTTTGTCATTTTGAAAACCTACACGAGTCAATTATGTTTTTTATAATTTTGATCCAATATTAGTTTGAATAGGCAAAAATGAGAAAATGTTAATGAATGTTTTCATTTGTGTTGTCTTTTTAGGCTCTGGATGTTCTTAGGGGTGCAGTAGCAGAAGCAGATGACATCACACAGAATGCAGAGTCCTTGGTAGTACTCATGGAGGTAAGGGGATCTCAATGCATTTAGTTCCAAAAGAATTATTTAGAAGCACACACACACTGCTGAATAATTATGCAGTATTTTACAATATCAAGGCCTTCAGTTTTTAAAATCTGAGAAGTTCACTTTTAGTAGACAAAATAAACATGGTTACCATACAGGGACAATTACTGACTTTTTTTGTAAGAAATCAAAATCAAAATGCAGCAGAAGGTGATTTACTAACAAATTTTTCCAAGAGACAATTGTCTCATAAGGAAATTTTTATATCTTTTGGTCAAGTGTTTTCATTTGTTCTAATTCCAGCTGAGGATGGTGAGCCTCCCAGTGGAGAGGGAGACAGCTGACCTGAAGCAGACCATGTGTGAGCTGATGTTGGACATGTTTGAGGTGTATGCTGGGGAGGAGAGACAGAGACAGACTGAGGAAATGAGAAAGGGATCAGTGCAGAAGGTGCTGTAAAGTTTACTTCAGTCATCACCCGAGTTTATCATAGAATTTTAATTCAGATCTCAGGCTTGTATATCAAAGTCAGCATTGTACATGTAGATTTACAAGATTATGTACATTGTATATGTAGTTGGTGTCTTTAAGATATTTCACAGATTGTGCATTTGAAAAAGAATTTGGGTCAGGAAGTATCAGCAAGTACTCCAAGTTGCTTTTACAATAGCCTTGGATAGAGATATTTCATAAACCATAGTTAAATGTATAATTTGAAATAGAACAAGGAATAATTTATCACTACCTAAAAGTGCTAATAAATGAAAATTATTCCACAGATGGTGGAGGAGATGGTGAGACAGACCCCCACCTTGACTGACACACAGAGAGAATGGGCAGAGACTACAAAGTAAGATTTTGTGAAATCATTAAATTTGACAATGTGTAAAATCCCAAAATATGAGTGTGATTTGAAAGTCACGTAGCTATATCTCTGTTAACATATCAACATATATTTTGTCATTTTTGTTTCATCAGTTATTGTACACTCAAATTTTAATTTCAGGATACTGGCTGAGAGTGTGTATAACCAGCTGACCAATTCTTACAGCCTGGTCAGAACCATTCCATATCTGAAAGGAAAGGTAAGTCTTACTTTGTGCTACTTGTAAGGTCTTAAATGAAAAAAAAAAGCAGCATGTGTTCATGATGTGTTTCATCAACCAAATCGTTTATACTCTTAAGTCTCACCAACCTAATGAATTTCTGTTGATAATGACAGCCCATTGACAGTTTGATACAGACAGGGTATGAACTTGTTACACATATGGTCAGTTTTGAACAAATAGAAGAGGATAAACTGACATTTAGAAAGGAAATAGTATAAATATGTGATAAAAATCAAATTGAACAACAGAAAATATCTTTTGTCAGTGATGTCAAAAATGGACTCTCTCATAGTAAGTATAATTTATTACATTTTCAGAACATGTTCCTGCTGGGCAGATGTTGCAGGCTGATAGCACAGCATATCAACACTGATGCTCCAAGTCAATGGGAATTTGAAAATATGGTGAGGGACAATTTTTTTATATAATTCTGATAACTGATTAATTATTTCATATTTGCTAAAATTGTAAAATAAAGTTATCATCATCATTAAAAAAATATGTAATGCCTTTTTCATTTCTTAAATAATGTCAATCAACAACCTTCATAAAATTCATATACCTTCATGAAATTCATATCCTATTAAATTTTTTCCTGCAGAATATTGCCAAATTGACCAAGATGTTAGAAGAAGGCGGTGGAGAGGAGGAAAGCCAGGTGGAAGGAGAAGAAGAGGGAGAGGACATTACCAGTAAGCAGTATCTAAAGAACCAGCAGGCCATCATGGAGGCCAAGACAAGCCAAACCTGCAGTGGAGCCTACATGACACAGGCAGTGGAGTGTCTGTCTCAGTCTGTTAACCTGGCTTTGAACAAAGGCTACAGGGTATGAAATATTGTGTCTTATCTCTCTCTCTCTCTCTCTCTCTCTCTCACTCTCTCTCCCTCGTAGTCATAACATTTAACACAATAAATTTACAAGATACTATTTTCCCTTACTATTTACTTATGAGTTTCCATTTTGCAAATCAAAATATTTAGATGTATGTTAGTATGAAATGTTATTTTCAAAATAAGCATCTTAAGTTTATATGCCATACATCAAAAAGTTTGAAAATGTATTTTGTGCACATAATTCAAATGTTTTCACAAGCTCATTCTGTTATATTGATGCACTGTGATACCAACAGACACTTTTCTCATGAATAGATACCTTCATATTTTTAATTTTCTATATAGGATCTTGCTGGGATGGCCTCCCTTGAGCTGGTGGAGTGTTATGGGCAGTATGACAGTTTCTTCAGCAGTCAGTACTTGGCACTACACCAGAGCTGTGTGGCCTCCCAGTATTTGGAGCAGCTGCTGGAGAAGGCACAGCCAGACCCCGTGGAGTCGCGCCAGGCAGCACTCCAGCACCAGAGGAGACTCCTGCTGAAGGGCAATGTGACCAGTAACACAGAGGCTGGCACGCTGTTCAGAACTATAACTAACAACCTGGATAATGATTGGCAGGTGTGTACATGGGCTTTGGTGCACGCGCGCACACACATGCATATTTATAATAAAACAGTCTTTGATAAATAGATGTAATTATTGACTAATTTAATGAATTTTGTTTTTATGCTGCATTATATTATAATAGCATGAATAGTTTGGAATATTGAAACCTTGGTAACGGAAAAAAGTTTGTATGAGCCAATATATACAATACACCTTAAGGTATATTTGCTAAGTTAGTTTATTTACACTATTAAGTAAATCTGCATGTGTATTATTGTTTTTGCTGTTTCAAGTCCTGCAAGAACCTCACCATTGATCCCAATCACCTGGACATGCTGAGAGAATTCCCACCTCACTTTAACATTGTCATTATGCAACACTCACCAGACAAGTAAGTGTACCTAGAAAATTTGTACATCACCCAGCTCACTTATGATATTGAACTTGTCAGATATTTAAATGAAAAGGCTTCAGGTAATATGTTTCTACATAAGTTCATCTACTTCTGGCTTTTAAAGTTATTATCATAATCTTTTATTTTCTTTGTTTGTAAAGCATTTTGAGATGCAAATAATCCAGTTTCTTCATTGCTGTTGTTAAAAGTGTTGTCTACTGTTTCATCTCTCTCAGGAAGCACATGTATTGTGCCATTCTGGATAAATCCAAGAACATGCCCATGCCTCTTGCTGATGGAAAGAAGAAAGAAGGAAAACAGCCACAAGTTCCATGTAAATCCTGCTTTTGACATGTATTTAGTAATCAATACATGTTTTGGATCTTAAGTTCAAAATTTGATAAAAATTTCAACCCAAACATTTATCAAATGTCTAAGACATGCTTTTATCTTTGAACTTTCATTTAGATTTTGTATTGGCATTGCTTGGAAATATAAACTGATAAATATACAGTGAATTGTGATATTGATTACAGTGACATCTAAAGCCAAAGTTCTACGCTGTGAGACGGACCCCAAAGTTTTGACCAGTCTGGTGGAGAGGTTCAAGCAGCATAAGCATGATGTCATGTATGTTCTGCTGAAGCAAGAATATCAGAGAACGGCTGAGGCACAGAGGAAAAAGATGCTGGAAAATCTGGATGATACCATGAAGAACAAAGGAGAGGAAAATGTGAGTTTTTAATGGCAACAATCTGTGTCATACCAGTACATCTTCAGAGAATTTGTCTCTAGAACTCAATAATTTAAGAAAAAATCAAAACTAGAAGTATGGAAGTGACTCACTTGTATTAATAAATCTGAGAATTTCCTTTCTGTATTGCCAGAATGAGGTTTATGAGGAATGGGCAGAGGATGAGAACAAGCTACAGCAGGAGTTTGTGTCCCTGGTCCAGGAAATGGAGGAGTACATGAGACCACTGACACAGCAGATGGATGTAGTGTTCAGGTAAATTGTACAACTCGCCTCCAGAGACAACTATTTTGTTCCACAATTGTCAATTTTTTTTTTACAAATACTTGGGGATTTATTACTCATCATAAGAGCCAGTAAATTTCCTGTCTTGATTTGAAGTATGTACATACATGATGAATGAGTGTAAAAAAACTTGTAAATTTTCTTGTGTGATTTTTTTAGCAGTTAATATCTTTGAAAACTTGACATGCTATGTATTGGTGTCAATTATATGACAGGACACAGAGATCACTAATGCAGGTGACAAGCAAAGGGAAAAAACTAGGGAAAGGAAAAGGGTAAAACTCCCTAAGCAATACCTTTATTTTCTTTATTTCCAATGTTCACACTATGTTTTAAGGTTGGAAGGTTATTTCAGGAAAATATCTGAAAATTTTGAATTTCTGCTTACCAATCAAAGCATGCCCTTGCCCCAACTGAATAATTGATGTGTGCATGCATGAATGCTAGTTAGATGTTTTGTTTCCTTAGCAACACTGCTAGGTTGCTGAAAAGGCAGAATCCAAATCACAGGGAATATTACTAAAAATAATGTCAAAAACTGAAATGAAGTGGATTCTGTTTTAACCAGCTTCCTGGCATTATATTTATTTTTGCATGAGAAAATGTTTTATAAGCATGGACTTAGTTGATATCACATACATATCTCCCTGCAATTCAGTCATATCAACTGTTATACTTCTAGTTGGATGTTTATTTTCTTTATGCAATATTGTCTGATTTTTTTTTTTAATTGTGAAATGATGCTATACAAATTTATTGCATGTGTTACATCTAATGCACAAATCATTACAAGGTTAAGATGCTTGAGGTAGTTTTCAACAAAATTCTTCAATGTAGCAACACTATGTAGTTTTTAGTGTAATTCTACATTGTAGCAACACTTTAGCTCGAGACTACCAGCAATACATACTGTATAGAAATAAAGATTCTTTTCTCAAACTATGTCAGTCTTATTACCTCTTTGTACCAAAATTGTTTCAGCAGCTAACATGTTTGTTACTAAACTTTTTTTGTTAAATGTTATGTGTAGTATAGGTAGCTAAAATAACATCTTTTACATCTTATTTGTTTCTTGATAAATACCTTCATATATACACATTTCATATTCATATGATATATATCAGGCCCCCCACTGCCACTAGTAACAGCCAGCACAGTAAAGATGGTAAAGACAAGGACAAGGGAGGAGCTGCAGGCAGTGTTCAAGAGAACACAGATGCAGTGATCCTATTGGCTGATCCAGACCTACTGGAGCTCCCTCTGGAGGCACTGGAGGCCATGCAGCTGGAGTCTGTGGTATCACTGACCAGGGACTTCTCACTCCAGATGATTGCACATAGGCTGTATCAGGAAGTATTGGGTAAATATGGAGATTTTTCTTATGTGGGGTTTTAATTTGAACAGTACCATAATTTCAGTAAAAATGTAAAAAAATGTTTTGTAAAGACAAATGAAGAGAGAGAGAGAGGCAAAATGTAGCATTTAGTTGGATAGCACCCACAAGAGTTATTTCTATGTTATTTCTATTTCAGATGAGGCAGCCTTGAAAGCCAAACAAGCTGCTGAGAAAACCAAACCACCTTCCAGAATCCCTGGACTAAGAGATGCTAGCAAGAAGCAAGCCAAGATTGTAAGTATGAGTGAACATGACTGATATCAGCTTTATTTGCTACTGGCTGACCTGTACTGGCAAAAATTACATTCAAAGCATGTATGGTTTTGTAAACTGAAAATAACTTGATCTAATCGAATACATACATAAATTTGTTTGCTTCTTAGCACCCTATTTTTTCTGGATCTGACCCAGGAGAGAAGGTAATAGAAGAGCTATCAAAAGCTTAAGTTCAATTTCTTATCTCCGGTGAAAACATTTAGCAGTGAAAAGTCCTTCAGTAGTTCATAGACTGTGTGATATTCTGCTTCCAAGAAGTACATCTACATCAAACTTAAGCATATTAAGTTTTTAGACATGCAATTTCTATTGGGACCCTGTTTAATTTTAGCAAAAATTTACTAGGATATCTGGTTGCATTATTCCTCATTTGTAGATAGATATTATTGTTATTTCTATTCATATAGAAGTGTTTGAAAGCAAATAGGGAGGTTTGGCATAGACAAACAATGTTTTATGGTGACGTTTAACTTGATTTCTTGGGCCATTGCATAAATAATGGATTAAGTATAAACCTAAATCAGATATTGTAACCATCAGTCATGGATTAATATAACACTTCAGAAAATGTCTGGATAAAGTACATGAAAATATAAAAGCATTTGATTATTAAATTTGTCCTTCCTAGTAAAATAATATAAATATTTAAAGCATACCTAATCATTCAAGTAAGGGGAACATTTGCTATTTTTATATACAGATGTTTTATTAACTGCCTCCCCTACTTAATTTAATAAAAAACAAAATATAATTATCAAGTTGATCAAATTTTTCTTTCAGATTCCATTGGAAAGATCTGTACCAGCAGGCTATGTGGGTGTTGACACAAACAACTTCAGATGTATCCTTTAATGAAATTTCACATACAGATGCCACAGGCATATCCCACAATTAATATACAAATTTCATGTCAAAGGTCATTCTTGAGACGGGTGCAAATTATTTGTAAACAATTCTGTCTTCTTATAAAACTGCTCTGTGTCCCTGAGTCCTCCCAAAAGAGCTGAAAATCTTCCTTTGAGTTACCATTGCATGTAAATAGATATGTACAATTTTCAAGAAAGGAACCTTTATAGAATATTTGGCAGTTTCGGAACTAAAATTATCATGGTTTTATACAGCCATTTCCTGAATGTGGTCTTGCATAAGGGCAGTTTTCAATTTTGTGCTGCACCTCTCAGTAATAATGCTGCAGAAAGGACCAATATCATCAGGAATCTTCATAAGTATAGTTATTTGTTGACTTTCCTTGACAAGTGATCAGTTATGGTTGATCCCAAGGTAGACTGTGCCGAGACAGAGGAATTTGGACCTATGGATGTGTTCAACCAAGTCATGAACCTGTATTCCCAACAGTTTACCACTCGGTGGCTGGGAGTGATGGGCAATGAGCATGTGCCCAGGTAAGGTGTCGGTTTTGCACAAGTATTTGTACAAGTTTCATGATGCTGGCATTATATAAAATGGAACAGTTTGTGGTAGGCTGCAACACTCCTGGTGACTTTTTACTGATAGAAAAAAAGAGCCAAGAGCCGCCTTTTTTTATTTACTCAAGGTGAACTCACTTTTTCATATGGAAGTCACTTGGATCTTGCAGGATCTTGACAAAATAACAAATTTATTGAAGATCATAATCTAACATAAAATTGACATATTTTATGTCTTACTTCATTATTATCCCTGCTGAATGGGAAATCTACCTGACAGAGGGAACAGGTTTTATTTTTTATGGAATGGAGAAGTTTATAGACTACATAGCCCCATCCAAGCTGACTGCTTTGAACATCCCAGAGTGTATGATGGTTTTCTTATTTGACTTGGCAAACACAAGCCAAAGTTTCCTGACTCAGTCCAAGATTGATATAAATAAAAGGTGAGAAAGCAGATCATTTCTTTGAAAATGAATTCTTAGTTTATTTCAAGACCATGATGAGTAAAACGCACTTTTTAAATGACTTTATCTCACACAGAACTTGAATTTCCCCAAATGTGTGCAGGTGTTTAAAGCTGAAATTGTCCATGATTTTATAGTGTTTTCCCTCCGAAGATAAAACTTGTCACCAGTCCAAACAATATAAAGGTGTGCACTGGAACTGCCAGTAACTTGAACAAAAGTTCTATACATAGATATCATGTCACATGTCTTCATCAACCAGAAGTCTGAACCCGTGTCTTGTGTTTTCAGTGCGACCACTCTGTCCCTGGAGAAACCAGTGGAGACTGCCATGTTGGTCAGTCTGACGGGAGTGAAAAGTATATTCACAAACCAGTGGAATTGCACACTCAAGGAAAATGCTGACAGGATGAATGACCTCATGAAAGGTAAAGCAACACTCTTTGAAATTCCTGATATAATGCAGTCTTCTACAAAGATACAATTGTCATCATAATATTTATTTCCTTTAAAATACTTTGCCAATTTTTTGCCAAACAACTTAAATTGGTACTATTTAAATGTGACAAAAAATATCTTTACAAAGGCTAGAACCACACATAGACACCTTCAATACATAAATACAATAAAAACAATATTTACACTTTACTTTTTAAAATTTAGATCTGTTAGAGAAAGGCTATCCAAGTGGTCAGGCTGTCCGCTACTTGTTTGCACCACACAAAAGACCTGTGGAAGTCGTGGAAGGGGAAGAGAACACTGACCAGGCCTTGGCTTCCCAGGGGCAGCAAGACCAAGGAGGGCAACAGGAGCCCCAGGACCAGGAAACCCAACAGCCCACAGATGGCGTCCCAGTCAGTGAGGAGACAGAAAAACAGGATGAGGAAAAAGAAAAGGAACCAAGTGAGCCAGAAGAACCTGTATTAAAGAGAAATTGGTACAACATGGTGTGTTATGGATTACCCAATTTAATTGTTACACAGATGTAAAAATGACCTGGGAGAAGTTGGATTGCCACAGAAGCTAAAAATAGTTTTAATGTACAATCCACTATGCTTTGTGACATGAACTGCCATGATTTCAAGTTTTACAAAATGTTATTTATTTGACTGATTTTTTACATTGTCTGAGACTAAAGCTTGTTCTTTCCAAATGTTTAACCTTTCCTTCAATAAACCCCCCTTTTAAGTATTCTACAGTTTTTGTCATTTTGAGCCTCTAAAAGGAAGAGGTTTATAAGAACCCTTAAGGTTAAGAGCGCTTCTGAATAAAAACATGGCCAATCTCGTGTAATGTATAACACACTTTTTCCTTGCTTTAATGCAGATATGACATTCACACCTGTCTCTGAAACTTTTCATGGTGAGCCATGAAGATAACTGGATAAACAAGTCAAAGTTCTGAAGTAAAAAATTCTTATTAATGGTTACTCCCTTTAGTACTCTGACTTTATCAGGATGCACTTCCACCACATCATTCCACCTCAGTTGTATGGAATAGTCATAAAATGGTCATTTCAATCTATATTCCTGTTTCTTTACTCCCTTTTCAGATTCGTTCAACAGATGTCTGGAAGCATGTGTCCATTGCTTTGTTTGCTTCAAAATGGCCTGTACTTTCTCCCTGGATAATATAAAAATCAAACCAATGAAATCGGTATAAGAGAAAATGACAATTATTTAAAATCTTCAATTGTTTTCATCACCAACTACTAAGTGCAAAATATAACAAGAAAGTTTTTTTCACAGTTATAGACATCTCAAATAGTTCTGAGTTAATAATTCAAAGACTGGAGTATTGGAACAAAACTGGCAATACTAAAATTTCATTACTTTTCTTTGGGAGGGAATTCATCATCATCTTCCTCTTTGCGCAGTTCCAGGACAGCTTCTGCCATTTTTGCCGTCCCTAAGCACTTATTGTTGTACATAAAATCCAAACATTCCTGGAAAAAAAATTGGCATCATCAAAGATAATCTAAAAGGGACGAGGGTAGTGACATCATACAAGACTAGGAAAAAAAAGGGGTTAACTTTTAAGAAATAAGGGAGAAACTGTGCTGAGAATCTCATCTTAAATACCAATACAAAAGTGACTGGCAAAATATGGTAAATCATTGATGTTGTGCAATATTTCTACATAAAAACAATTGTTGTCAGATCCCAAAAGCACCAGATGAGCTGGAAACCAATGTAGTGGTGGGAAACTTGTTCCTAACTGAAAAACTTCCAGTCAGTAGCTATGAGGTGTGAAACCTTACCGTTGCAAATTTTGGCTCCTCTGCCACAATGCATGCCCTGCCCATCTTCTCTACAACAGATTCCCTAAAATGCAGAGGTTCAAATTCTTTTGGTTTTTATTAAGAGTCATTTTCTCAAACATAATGCATTAAATATTACTGACAAATCAAAGGGAGAAAAAAATTATGAAAACTGACTTACAAACATACATCCAAATATTTTAAAATGGATTATTCTACTGATCTTATTAGACACCAAAGCTGACAAATATAGAGACAAAAAACAACACAAGTATTTACAACAACATTTAAATAAAGGATATCTCAGTATAAATGTGACTCATCTACACACTCTTAACTTAGAAAAGAAAGAATAAATCTACCTAAAAACTGAACTTATAACAACAGAAATGAGCATTCATACTGCACACTTGTTAAAAAATTCAATTTTTGAAAACTTGTTTCTAAATGTGCAGTTCTGAGCTGATAACATTCTTGGAGCTGTCAAGGAAAGTTGTCCATTATCCTGACACACTTCTTCCCTTGTTATGGATCCACCAAGTGATGGCTACCTTAATTTCTCCAATTGTTTGCAGATTGTTCTGGCACATATGGTCTTTCAAAAACCTCAAAGACAGAAATCTGGTTGGTTCAAATCTGTTGAATGCAATGACCATTCCAGAATATGATGTCCGCTGTTCAGTCGACCTGAAAAGCGTTTATCCAGCTATTGCATAGTGATGTTGGCTCTGTGTGGATTTGCTCCCTCTTGCTGGAATCATTGGTTCTCTAGCAACACACCACTATGGGCACCTAATGCCCTTCAGAACTTGTGAAACACAACTTAATGTTTATCATTGACAGGCAATGTCTCCCAAACAGTATTCTCAATACTAAACCAAAATGGTCCAATTTTACCACGTTTTGAGACTGTGACCCACATTCGACTTCACAGAGTGCAGTGGGAACTGTAGGACTTTATAAGGCACCTGAGATCCCCAGATCACAAAATTCATGCCGTTGTCGTTATCTGATACAGCAGAATGGGTGTCATCACTGAACCACATATTTTGGAGGAAAACTTGTTTTCAAACCACATTTAGAACATGTCTTGTAATGTTTAATTTTTAACAAAAGATGCAGAATGAACATTCATTTCAACTGTTATTATTTCAGCTTTTACGAAATCCGAATTTTATTGTTTTTCTTTTCTGGTTTATAATTATGAGAGTGTAGACAAGTCACATTTATACTGAGACAACCTGTTATAAAAACAAATGAACAAACAAACAAACAAAAATCATCCTGAATTCAGAAAGGAACCTACATTTATACCAAACAAAGCCACCGAATAAATTAAAAATTTTATTAAATGGTTTGGCAGTTATAGGAGAACAGTATCTCAGATGGTAACAACATGCGCGAGGCACAGTGGTCAGAACACATACAGATGTGTACTGTATCTGTAAATAAAAATTATTAAAAAAAATAAACATACAGTTTGTACGTTTATTACCCACCACTAGCAAAAGTATGGTTCTTTCAATATCCAAAAATGCAGTGTTATTAAACCTTACCTCAGTTTTTTTCCTGTTTGGGCTTGAACTTCCATACCAATTTGTAAGGCAGGCCTAAAAAATTGAAATCTTGATACATATCACCAATTAAAAATAGTAGTACTCAACTTTTGGGTATTTTAAGTTTAGTTCATAGTCTAAAACTGATCTATTTGATCTTTTCATGCCACCTACCAACTTCTGCGAACATCTTTCATGCTATTGTTCAGCAGCAGAAACAGACAATCTGAGACGATGTCACTTCCAATTCTGAAATCAAATTAAGAACCAAGACCTCACAACATGATAGCAGCAACTTATCTTAAAGTCATCAACTGTACAAACAGAAACTGTACTAATTTTTTGCAAATGTGTAAATAATATAGACTTAAACACAAGATTATTCATGATCTTTACTTTCAAAAAAAAAAAANCTCTTAAGAAATAAGGGAGAAACTGTGCTGAGAATCTCATCTTAAATACCAATACAAAAGTGACTGGCAAAATATGGTAAATCATTGATGTTGTGCAATATTTCTACATAAAAACAATTGTTGTCAGATCCCAAAAGCACCAGATGAGCTGGAAACCAATGTAGTGGTGGGAAACTTGTTCCTAACTGAAAAACTTCCAGTCAGTAGCTATGAGGTGTGAAACCTTACCGTTGCAAATTTTGGCTCCTCTGCCACAATGCATGCCCTGCCCATCTTCTCTACAACAGATTCCCTAAAATGCAGAGGTTCAAATTCTTTTGGTTTTTATTAAGAGTCATTTTCTCAAACATAATGCATGAAATATTACTGACAAATCAAAGGGAGAAAAAAATTATGAAAACTGACTTACAAACATACATCCAAATATTTTAAAATGGATTATTCTACTGATCTTATTAGACACCAAAGCTGACAAATGTAGAGACAAAAAACAACACGAGTATTTACAACAACATTTAAATAAAGGATATCTCAGTATAAATGTGACTCATCTACACACTATTAACTTAGAAAAGAAAGAATAAATCTACCTAAAAACTGAACTTATAACAAGAGAAATGAGCATTCATACTGCACACTTGTTAAAAAATTCAATTTTTGAAAACTTGTTTCTAAATGTGCAGTTTTGAGCTGATAACATTCTTGGAGCTGTCAAGGAAAGTTGTCCATTATCCTGACACACTTCTTCCCTTGTTATGGATCCACCGAGTGATGGCTACCTTAATTTCTCCAATTGTTTGCAGATTGTTCTGGCACATATGGTCTTTCAAAAACCTCAAAGACAGTTGGTTCAAATCTGTTGAATGCAATGACCATTCCAGAATATGATGTCCGCTGTTCAGTCGACCTGAAAAGCGTTTATCCAGCCATTGCATAGTGATGTTGGCTCTGTGTGGATTTGCTCCCTCTTGCTGGAATCATTGGTTCTCTAGCAACACACCACTATGGGCACCTAATGCCCTTCAGAACTTGTGAAACACAACTTAATGTTTATCATTGACAGGCAATGTCTCCCAAACAGTATTCTCAATACTAAACCAAAATGGTCCAATTTTACCACGTTTTGAGACTGTGACCCACATTCGACTTCACAGAGTGCAGTGGGAACTGTAGGACTTTATATGGCACCTGAGATCCCCAGATCACAAAATTCATGCCGTTGTCGTTATCTGATACAGCAGAATGGGTGTCATTACTGAACCACATATTTTGGAGGAAAACTTGTTTTCAAACCACATTTAGAACATGTCTTGTAATGTTTAATTTTTAACAAAAGATGCAGAATGAACATTCATTTCAACTGTTATTATTTCAGCTTTTACGAAATCCGAATTTTATTGTTTTTCTTTTCTGGTTCATAATTATGAGAGTGTAGACAAGTCACATTTATACTGAGACAACCTGTTATAAAAACAAATGAACAAACAAACAAACAAAAATCATCCTGAATTCAGAAAGGAACCTACATTTATACCAAACAAAGCCACCGAATAAATTAAAAATTTTATTAAATGGTTTGGCAGTTATAGGAGAACAGTATCTCAGATGGTAACAACATGCGCGAGGCACAGTGGTCAGAACACATACAGATGTGTACTGTATCTGTAAATAAAAATTATTAAAAAAAATAAACATACAGTTTGTACGTTTATTACCCACCACTAGCAAAAGTATGGTTCTTTCAATATCCAAAAATAAACTAATGCAGTGTTATTAAACCTTACCTCAGTTTTTTTCCTGTTTGGGCTTGAACTTCCATACCAATTTGTAAGGCAGGCCTAAAAAATTGAAATCTTGATACATATCACCAATTAAAAATAGTAGTACTCAACTTTTGGGTATTTTAAGTTTAGTTCATAGTCTAAAACTGATCTATTTGATCTTTTCATGCCACCTACCAACTTCTGCGAACATCTTTCATGCTATTGTTCAGCAGCAGAAACAGACAATCTGAGACGATGTCACTTCCAATTCTGAAATCAAATTAAGAACCAGGACCTCACAACATGATAGCAGCAACTTATCTAAAAGTCATCAACTGTACAAACAGAAACTGTACTAATTTTTTGCAAATGTGTAAATAATATAGACTTAAACACAAGATTATTCATGATCTTTACTTTCAAAAAAAAAAAAAAAAAAAAAAAATCACAAAGTTATTTTTCCAACTTACTGTTCTACTGAAAGACTGTACAGACCATGTGATCTACCGATATCATACCAGTCAAGAACCTCCCAGCCAACATTGGCACAGATCCATCTCATCTGTTGAAAATATGAAATCCAACACAATCTTATTTGACAGCCAGAAAACTATCATCTATGTAACAACTAAGCATTTAAAATGGGAAATTAATCATCAAACAATTTTCGTATCCCAAAACTTTGATATGAATTTGAACAATTTGGCAGTATATAAATTATTTAAAGCAGATAAAAAGGGATTAATATCTTCTTTTCAAATCTTTAAAAGGTATGCCTACTTTGCTATTGCAATTTTTTTTCATGGCTTTGTCCTTCACAATTTTCAGTGCCAATAATGGAACATCAAAAGTTCTGGGAAAAACAGTTCTTGCATCTGTAAATATAAAGTGCATAGGCAATACAATAGTATATTAAAGCAGATGTGACAGTTTCTAATAGTTTTCATGTTTGATCAATAAAAGTTTGGTCTATGCTCTAGGGATATATAAGGTCAAATGGTCTGCAATATTACATATTATCAATGCTTAATGGAATAACCACAACTAACTTGAAACTAGAAGATCAGAGAGGCAATACTGCCCTGGGTATTGTACCACCAGGTGAAGTAAGCGCATTTGTATGAATTTAAAAAAAAAAAAGGGACACCATGTCCAGTGTTGTGCTTGATAAGCTCTTCAAAATGCACTTAATGAAAGGTCACAGTTAGATTGCCAGTATATGACTTCCTATTCAAGTTCAATAGTAACTATAGACATATCTCTGCCAGTTTGATTAACAGCATAATCACCACAAAATTTTAATCGCTTAATATACATAACAGGGACCTTCAGAAAATGTAACTTCGTTTTGGCTTCATACCAATAGGAATTCTAAGTCCCACACTCTGAAATATGTGAAAAACGTGAAAAATGAAAATTTTACAAAGAACTGCATAGCTTCAAGAAAAAAAAAATGCTGCATTTCAGTCCTATGAATCTTTATATATACTAAATTTGAGAATAATAAGGGACATGTTTTTTCTTGAATTGTCACTGTGGCGACAGTGCCAAAATAGGGTTTTCTTCAATTCTGATGTGATATTACATAATAATTAACAGTATAATCACCAGCAATTTTTAATTATGTACTGCACATAACATGAATGTTTGGAGAATATGATATTATGCAAAGGTCTACGGCCCCATGGAAGTTCAAAGTCACACACTGAAAATGCTAATATTTGGAAAAATGGTCCAATCATGCCGGTTTCGAACTAGACCTACATTCTATGAACATTCATCACTTTTGTAAGTTTGAAGACAATAAGTGAAACAGTTTTCAAATTAATGCATTATCTATGAAAGTGCATAGTGACAATGACAGCAGCGGGGACAACAGATCATTCATGTTCATAAGTGGGATATAAGTAAAAGCAAAGGTTTTATTTAACAAAATTTCTTCATTCATGACCATGACTTGCCTAATGTCAAATTAGTAAAGTGCCCTTAACAGATCTCACTGCATGGTCTTATACTATTTGGGGCAGTTGTAATTTACCATTATCTTTCACGAAGATAATGCCATACAGGCTGATAGCTTAATATGAAAGCTCTCTCTCCTAGATGGCACCAGCTACCACTTTGTCACAGAACTTGTGAAAAAGATGCATTTTAAAAACTCACTATTTACTCAATGAACATCCAATTTGTATATTTTGATATGTAAACATAAGTTAGACACATTTTCTGAACAATATTCATCTTCATTCAAGTTATCATATCATATTATTTCTGTTATATCACACTATGGTTTTTGATGTAATGAGACAGAATCATGCATGGTTACTGTATTGAGAATGTTTACTTTTATCAGTAATGAGAGCGTCTACTTTTATTAGAGTAAATAATGTCACCTCAGTGATATCCACTTGGGGCTGTTTTAAATTACATAAATTTTCTTTACCTTCTAGAAGTCTCAAAATATGCTGAAATCCACTCTGTTGGTCTTTGACAGCTGTCAATAATTTGGCAACGACATAAGCGTTTAACACAAATCTCTGAAAAATAAATTAATCAAGTATTATATAATATATTTATACTTGTTAATATTTTTTAAATATGTTCTAAATACAAAGAGCAGTTCCTGGTATCTTTCACCATATTGAAAATGGTTTATAGTTGAGAAAAAAACAAACTATGTTAACAATGAGACACCTGGATAGACAAATTGTAAGCAGTTAATACTGCGCTGTTTGCAGGGAGTATTTTTACAATCAAAGCATGAAATCGTGTTTTAAGTTATTCATTTTCCTGATCACAATCACTAGTCCACTGCTCTAAGCCACAAATGGCAATTGTTGTTTATGAGGCCTGTCGTTGCAGTGCAGCAAAACACTTACATATGGGCTATACTTGACATAAAATTCCATCAGCACATCTATTGTCTCATGCTTCAACAGAAGATCAAAGTATGAATAACTGAAGTGAGAGAAAAACAATCCTTGTACAAATAACAAGCTAGCACATGGCTGCTAAAATGGCTGATGTGCCACTCTGCACAACTTTAAGTTAAGCCAGTGTAATAAGATCATTTTCAAAATACTAGTAAATTGAAATAATTTTTGTCAACAATATAATATTGTATAACACTTTTCTACATTATATATCTCTATCTTTGTTTTAAGACGCTGCTCAAGGCAAGAGCCAATCAATAGCATAAAAAATATTTGTGCAAATACCAATTTGCATTGAATCATTTACCCATGTAAAAAAGTACACTTTTCTTTATGCCTTCATGAAACAACAGCACAACATGTTCTAATATGTTTCTTTATCCTTGAAGTTGCTTTTCTTTTTTTTTCTTTTTTTTTTTTGCATAAAGTGTCATATGACTGCAAACTTACTAATACTTTATTGTATTCTTTTGATTCCCAAGCAGATAGTGATTCTTGCCAATTTCAACAGTTTCATTAATCTCATTGGCAAGGGTCAAAGAATTGCTCAAATATGCCTAAAAATAAAATAAATAAATAAATAAATGAATAAATAAATAAATAAAACATGACTAGACAGCAAAACGTCCATATATACAAACATTACTTTACAGATTCAGGTATAGGTAAGTGTTAGTTTAGTTGAAATATGGGTAAATTAATGGAAAGGCTTTTCAAATATAAAATGGGAATCAAACCAAGGCTGCTTTCAGAACAGATGATCCACGAGGCTGGGGAAACCATCAGGGGATTAGGTGGCTTGCTTTTAGGTGGGGTTGGCCATATTTAGTCCGTGGATCAGTAAGTCTGTGGAGCATCTGTTCTGAAAGCACCCCAAGTACAGCTCAAAGTGTCACAACATAGCATTATATCAAGCAGGATTTCACTAGAATTTGAGGAAATTCGGGTCACAAATAATGGGAGACTAGCATGTGCAGTGCAACAATGACTCAAAACTGACAAAATTCATTCACAGATATTTTTTCTGGTAATTTTTCCTTTAAAGTCTGTAATAGTCTATTGCAAAACAGTTAAGATATATTAACCTTGAAGTTGCTTTTCTTTTTTTTGGGGTGCTGCTTTTGTTCTGCTTTTAAAGAAAAGAGTCAACTTTACTGATAAAAGGGGAGTCCCAACTTTTCGTGGATGTTTTATTGCCTCATATGTCCTCATGCAATGCCGACATTTCATTTAGTTTATTGGAGGAAAACATTTGGATTAGAAATTAACTTATCTGCATGTCCATACTGGGTAACAAAATTGGGACATGGGCAACATGGCATTGATCTTGTGAGCACCCTTTCTGCTTAGAATATGCAACGTATTTTGATTTATATTCATAAATTTTGGAAAATGTAATATTAAACACATTCAAAGATTATCAAGAAAGAATACACTTAACTTCACTGAGTTGGGAAAGCACGATGCAGACTGAATGGGTGGTTAAACAGATTTGACATGAAAGTTTTTCTTGAATTGCATGCCAAAAAGTAGGCACCGGATATAGCTAATTTAATTAGTCTCGTTTAATATCCATGTGACCGGGTCATTACATCAGCAATTGAAATCTTCAGTCGTTATGGTAAGTTCCTGGGTCAAATCTGAATGGGGAAATGATACCACACGCTAGCTGTGGTTTCCCTGTCATGCCAATCTGACGGAAACGAAACAGGGTTGGGTCATAACATCTGTGATTACACGCTCACATGACAGGATTACCTTACACTAGTGGGCTAGATTTGGTCTTAAAGCGCAATTTAAGTTCACAAGTGATCTTACACGATCTTAATCATTACAGCAGTAGTCTTAAAATGGACTGAATCTGCTTTTAAGATCAAAAATGATCCAACATCTACTTTAGTGGTCAAGCAGTTTCCTCCCCTCACAATGGGGGATACCTCCCCTAACAATAGAGGACACCTCTGCTCACAATAGGAGAATGTGTAAGGGGAAACAACTTAATTGGCTCTCAGACTAGAAATGGTCTTACTCATGTTTTAAGATCATGTAAGACTATTGTGTTCTTGAATTGCACTTTAAGACCAAATCAAGCCCACTAGTGTTATGCATTGTTGTATTATGAAAAGCAGAGTGTATTTCAGGTATTTAAACCCAATATTGAACGAATTGTATGGTTCTTGAGTATGGGAGATAAAACTTTGTACGGAATTTGAAAGTGGACACAATAATAATGCACAACAAACCGTTTTCCTTGTGCATCATAAGTTGCGATGAAGAGCAATTTTTGTTTTTCTCTAGTGTGTGTGCAACAAATTATCCCTGAGATGACCAAAAAACAAGACAACACAATTCTGAGAGCTTTTCTTTTCCATAATGTCCAGCTGCAAATCAGACTGGTATGTCTGTGTCCCAGGTTTAAGAGCTGTTTTAGTGTCATTTACTGCTAAGAATTAAAAAGTTTAAATACACTGCAATGTTTGGAAACACACAATTGTTTGTTATAATAAGACAAATCAATCCCCTTTCACATGAAAACACCCCCAATGTAATCCAACACATAGGAATATTTTGACAGACTTTCAAAGATGATAACCCATTGCTGTTACCCAGTATCTTAGATGTGCAGATATACATTTACAAGTGGTTTACATTACTTACAGAATTCATTGCAGTAGTAAAAAATTGGACTGAAAAAAATATGAAGATAGAAATAAATGTTCATATGCTGTTTTTAAACATTTTAAATATGGAAATAATTTCTATTCAACTGCAAAAACCGCAACATTTTACACCAGTCAATCAAAATTATACATATAAGAAAAAAATTGGAATAAATGGTATGAATGGCGAAAATTGTTTGGGAATTTCAATTTATTCTTAGTTATTTCACTGTTCTTCACACTTTTGGTCATTTATTAAATTCATTCTATTCTCATTTTCTTGACAAGCAAGCTTAGCAGAGAAAAAGTACTTACAATCCTCTGGATCCCTGATTAAAAATTGCCTTCCTTTTATGTAAGAGTCAAAAATTTTCTTCAGGTAACCTATGTCTTTAGAACCTAAAAAGGCAGCAAAGCAATCAAACATACAAATAAAAAGCTAAAATAATGATACACTATTACATAACCGTTAACAGCATAAGCAATACCAATTTTAAATTATGCACAACAGGTAACATGAACAGTAAGAATATGTTAGTCAGCATACGGCTGCAGGCCAATGTGAGTTCAAATGCAAACAATGAAAATCCCAATGTGTGAAATATGAACAATTTACAAAAAAAATTGTGTGGCTTAAGGAAAAATAATATAACAAGGATGGTTTTCCAACTCAAGCTGTATCTTAGTCCCAAGATTCACTTTTTTCAAGTTTGGGCATTATTATATTTATAACTATTTTCCTTTATACTGCTTATGGTGGCAGTTCATATAATAGAATGAGGTAACCTTATGGTGATATTCAACCCGACAATGGGACAATTGACAGAGGCTCAAGTCCCATGACGATAAGCCTAGCTGAAAATATCTCCATAAGGTGACCTAAACACAGTATCTAACTGTTTTGTTACATGATCTGAAATCAAGACAAGTGTGCGCTGCTATATACAGATTCAGTTTTCTTTATTCATATAGCCTACACCTTAACAAATAAGGTACAATCATCAGACCAACACAACTTTCCACATTGTGACACAAATAAATAACAAAGTTACATTAGTGTAAAAAGTAAATAGGCAGCATATTACACAGGTGAATTTATACTATAATATATAGAATACATGAACTGTGCAGAAGTTGTGAATTGCATAATTACTGCACTACCTCATTCTCAAATCAACAACAAAGCATGATCGTTCTGTCCCTATGACTGGTCCAAAAGAAAAGAGAACTATCTAAGCAGACGGATACCAGGGACACTAACTTTCAACAAGACAGCAAAGCTAGAAAATATACAGGCATCATGCAGAAAAAAAGTGCACAGAATAATGTTTTGGCCAATTTTGATGCACTGTTACATAATGGTTTAAAACAGCATAATCACTCTTACCCTCTTATATTATGTACTACAGGTAACATGGACATTGAAAAATAGCAAATGATTCAGTTTAATTACTATATCCTATTGTGCCTATTTTCTAAAGCAACCTGCCTCTTCACCAAAAAAAGCCATTCAGTACATTTATAGTAAAGCAAAAATACAGTTTGGAAGTTATGGGGCAAATGTCACCAAAATTATGAAAAAAAAAAAAACTGAATAAATACCATAAATATAACCCGAACATGCCAATTTTCCAAAGCAACCTGAATTTTTACCAAACACAGCCACTCAGTAAATTTAAGTAAAAGAAAATATGGTTTGAAATTTGGAATTTATGGGGCAAACTTCACCAAAATTGTGCAAAAATATAGAATTATTACCATAAATGTAAACTGATCATACCATGCAACCTGCCTCTTTACTAAACAAATCGTCTCCCTTGCGTACACTTTCTGCTTAGAATATGCATCGTATTTTGCTTTATGTTCATAAAGTTTGGAAAATGAAACATTAAACACACATAAAATTATCAGGGAAGAGTACACTTAACTTCACATAGTTAGGAAAGCACACTGCAATCCTGGATCAACGGTTAAACAGCAATGACATGAAATCATTTTTTGTGAATTGCATGATGCCAAAAAGTGGGGATCGGATATTGCTAATTTAATAAGTGTCATTTAATATTCTTGTGACTAGGTCATTATGTCATCAATTGAAATCTTCACTCATTAAGGTAAGTCCCTGGGTCGATTGTGAATGGGGAAATGATACCAACACGCTAGCTGTGGTTTCGTTGTCATGCCAGTCTGACGGAAATGAAACAGGATTGGGTCATTCCATCTGTGATTACAAGCTCAGATGACAGATTTTCCTAACACATTGTTGTTTTATGAAAAGCAGAGTGTATTTCAGGTATTTAAAGCCCAAAATTGAATGAATTGTATAGTTCACATCTATGGGAGATAACACTTTCTGCTGAAGTTGAAATGGAAATGATAGTAACGTTAACCCACAACAACCCATTTTTTCACTCATCAAAATTTGCAAGGAAGAGCAATTTTTTATCTAGTGTGTGTGCTGTAAATGATCCCTGACATGACAAAAATACATGACAATACTATTCTGAGAGCTTTTTTTCCATAATGTACAGCTGCAAAACAGACTGGTATGTCTGTGTCCAAGCTTTAAGCCCTGTTTTAGTGTCATTTTCAGCTAAGAATTAAAAAATTTCAAATACACGGCAATTTTTGTTTTAATAAGACATGATTCCTTTTGAAATACTGAAATATGAGAAACTTCTGATGCTTTTTATAAATTAACATAATAAGCATCTCAAATCTATTAGTGAAATATATTCTTTATGGTATACCAGATTTAACCTTTAAAACATCTATCTTAAACTTATGGTACTTAATGAATTTCCTCAAAAAATATTTCAGATCCAATATCATCCTTTTTGTGACATCTTTTTAGGCCTTGTACACAATGTGTGAACAAACTATCCTTCTTCATTGTGCATTTCAACGATGATGCCTCAATATGGTGATCTAGAAACTTCAATTCCAATAATATGTTTACATCTAGTGGGTTAAGTAGTGCTATGCTGCTTGGCAATTTCTTTGCAACTTATTGTTTCTGATGTATGATTATAGAACTATAATTATTATATCTTCTATTAATTCCATCTCTTGTACCTCTATTGCCTCTTGATAAACATCTATTACTAGCCTGTTCTCTATTCCTCTAGGAGCTGCAGAGCATGCTAAACCAGTGTTATCAACACTTGGTGATTCATCTGTCTAGTATTTATATGGGACGTTTATGATTCTTTTGACAGCCATTGGTGCACGACAAAAACAGAAATTGAAGATATGCACTAGTGCGCGTGCGCTCTCACATAAAAGTCTTCTATAACCTCATTTGTATAGAAACAAAATAAAATATGTGAAGTAGATGGAATATGGCAACATGGGAGACTTCTGAGTTTTGTAAGAATAGTTAACATTAATGCTTTTACACCATTTAACCACCATTCTATACTGAATACATCAAACTATCACCTACCTTTTTTCAGGTATACATGCACTAGACATGCATCCCATGTAGCAAGGCTTGGTTCTAGTAAATAATTTAAAAAAAAGTCACCATTAGTCTTTAATGTTATCCACAATGATATCCCTGAAACTCCCTCAAAATTGAACTCTTTTTCACTGGTTGTTATTCCTAAATTTGACAATTCCACCCTTCCCTAACATTATATGGATCATTATACTGATACATTTTTGAAGCAAATATAAGTAAAGTAGCAGCATATAGCCTTTTATTGACAGAAAGAGGTTAAAGATGATGAAAATAAAATAATCCTTCCACAAACATTGGGCATCACCTATATCCATGGCTTTCATTTCTCCAAGGAGTTCGTCAATGTGCTGTATTACCAATTTGTCTTTTGAATTAACTAATACCCTCAGGGCATTGTTGAAAGTGATAAGGTTTGGTCGTACATCTGCTTTTGCCATCTCCTGCAGGAGTTTCTGAAAGAAATTAAGACGACTTTTTAAATGCTAATTTTTAAAAAGAATTCATCACTGACAAGACATGTTTACCTTAGCTTATTCTTTTTTATCTTAGCTGAGCTACTTGCAACAAATGTTACACTAAACCCTTTTACAGAAGATCTAAACAACATCAAAGTTTGTGAAGTTATCACTACAGGCACAAATGGAAGTAGTGAATGATTTAAAGTTTATGAGTGTACATTATTCAACCTAAGTTAGCCACAGATGAGGAGAGTTTCACTCTTTTAGTACCCAGAGCACTACAATAATTTCCAGCACTCCTTATCCCAGTGGCAATCCCTATCTGGTCAACAAATTTATCTATTATCTATCATAGTAGGAATCTAGTATCATAGGAAGACAGTCAACTGGTTTTCAGTGAGATGTAGACAAAAACAAGAACATGTATTGTCATCCTTACCATTCAACATTTTTATAAATGAACTTCTAGTTGATGTAGCAGCACTTAATGCTGGGGTCCAAGTATGAGACAACATGGAGTAAATTTGTTGTGTGGTAATGGTATGGTAATGGTGGCCTAAAATGGCTTTGCAAAGGATGGTTGATGCTTTGCAACATATTAAAAAAATCAAATGAAGTATATTTAAGACCTAAGAAGATGCAGTGGCGTCCAGTGTCCTTTTTAATGTGGTAGTAAGGAAATAAAACTGACAGGCAAGCACACTTTCCTGAGACCACTTTTAACAAAACATCTGAATTATGAAACAATTGGAGTCTTATCACCATAAGTATACCATAAATAAAAGTTCACAGCTCAGATGATCAACATTTTATGGCAAGTGTAAACCTGTTTTATAGAATACCTAGGCAATTACATGGTCAGGAAATATCATGCACAATGGATGCCACTTTAACCATTATTTAGTAAAGGGAATAACTGGAAATAATTAGGCACTGATACCATTTTAAGCAAAGTCGCCCACAGTCGTCAATGGCAAACAGAATAACACAAATTTTCAGAACTTGTCTGAGCCATTTCATGTGTACTAGGTATTAGTTTACCCCTTAATATCATAGCTTTACCTTGACCATCTCCCATGCCAAATCACTCTTTTCTTGTATGCAATCAATCAATCCATTGTAGCACTCCAGCTCCACTAAAAAAATTAAAAAATCAGTTCAAGTAACATAATAAAAGAAAATATAATCACTGAGATCTTTGAAGCAGGCTGATGATACTTTAAGGTTTGAAGGTTGTGGTCACAGCCCACAAATCAAATAGAGGATCAGAGGTATGTACCAACAGCTGGAATAAGCACATTTGTATGGAAAATAAAAAGGGACACCACCTCTAGTGTTATGCATGACAAGCTCTACAAAATGCAGTAAATGAGAGTGCTCCATTTTCTTTGTTGAAAATTACAATTTATAACAAAATCATGGGGAAAAGTAAAAGGTCAAATCCAAATATGTGAAGTGCAGTTCATGGCGAAAAGTAAGTCAAAGGTCAAAATCAAAGGCTGTATTCCCAGAGCTTTTAGATTGATCTATCCCCACGGGGAGTCTCACAAGATTACTGTCAGATAACCCGGCTTAAATGTCTGTCCCACCTACTACAAGCTGTAAGGGGGTAATTAACTTTCGTGTTCGCCCGGCTGACAGCTATTTAGCGTGAACCCCCAGGTAGTTAGGTCGATCTAAAGTAGATCGATCTAATCTCTGGAAATGGGGTCACAGTCTCAATATATGATTTTCTATTCAAGTGCAGTAGTATCTATGAGCTTATCTCTGCCAGTTTTGGAGATATAAGGGATGGAAAATTTGCAAACTTCAGTTCTTGGTGAAAAATAGGTAAAAGGTCAAATTTAAGATCACGGTTAGATTGCCAGTACATGACTTCCTATTCAACTTCTATAGTAACTACAGGTGTATCTCTGCCAGTTTTGGAGACATAAGGGGCAGAAAAGTTACAAACTTCGGTTCATGGTGAAAAAAGGTCAAAAGTCAATTTCAAGGTCACAGTTAGATTGCCAGTACATGACACCATATTCAAGTTCAATAGTAACTATGGGTGTATCTATGCCAATTTTGGAGTTATTTCACATTTTATTTTCACCACTGAATATTGCAATGTTTTACTCTTTGATATAGTGCAACTCGTAAACCATACAGAAAAAAAAACAGCCGCCACATTCAGTTTTGTGCTTGACAAGCTCTGTTAAATGCAAAGAACAAGAGGTCTCTAGCATTTACAGTTCCAGAACTTAAGAGAGTTTCAGTTTTGGCATCTTATGGCTGCTTCTCTTGTAAAAATGCACTGATTGACCCCAAAATCACAAAGATGAAAGTTGACCCTTAGTGTAACCCCCTGTCCAAAATATATTTGGTTAGGTCCGAGTAGTTTTTGCAAATCGGCACAAATAAAAATTGTTTGGGGGTGGCCGGCTCATGTCTTAGTTAAACTAACTCTTATCAAAATAACACGATCCAGGACTGGGCCCCTGGGGACGTGTGTTTTGACAGCGCCCCTGGTTAAAAGCTTTGAGATTGCTTTTGGGACGTTAGAGTTTAGATTGAAGTATAAAAGTCCCTTTTAATGCGTTATCACGTGTTTGTGAAGAGATGAAAACGGTGATAGAACATGTCTGTCTTATAATTCTGATTCGAAATTATTAGATTACTATTTATTGACGTATTCAATATTATCGGCTGTTGTTTCACTTCAGTATGATGTGAGAGAGGTGTCTCACCTCTGTATGTGTTTGACCTGAAGGGCTGATTGGACAAGATACGCACAGTGCGATGGGGGAAACGAAAGGGGGGGTTGGACTGGTTGCAGAATGTGCTTTTAGGTCAACAAGTGACCTTCATCAGCTGCAGAGTCCTAAAAAAGGGGGGGTTAGAGAGAGGGGTGGTCAGTACTGTGTTTAACGCTCTGGTTATCACAGGATGGAGTGTTAGTCCTGGTGTTGTAGGACTTTCTCCGCAAAGGTGTCTCGCCTTTGTATGTGTGTCTGCTTGGCAGATCACAGTGTGAAATGTTTGCACAAGTGTTTCGCTTGTGACAATATCCGTAGTTTTACAAAAGTATCTCGCTTTCGTGGCTGCAGTGCTTACAGATAGCGGCACAGTAGAGGTGGTGAGGACAGTCACCTGCGTGGCCTGTGGTAACTATTGTGAGCTAGCGGGTTCAGACAACGACGTGTTGATTGCTCAATAGTTGAGTGAGAACTCAAAATATCCATTTTTAGAATATTTTGGCCTGTTTGACCTTGATATACAGGTCAATGGTCAAATCCAAGGTCATGTTTGAAATCTACACATGACTTTCGGTGAGCCATCTAATAAAATTTTCCCATAATTCTTTCGGTTTGGTACATGCTTAGCATTTAATTTTGCAAATTTTGAACAAGGGTGCGTTACGATGAGTGCCACACCTAGACCCGTGCGCCAACAAAGCCCAAAATTTACGTGCATCGAGATGAGATTAATTGTGACGTAAATGCAAGAGATAGGTACGCAGGCTCTTGTAGTATAGGAGGAGAAGCGGTAACGGATACATGCCAGTGGATCGGGCGGATGAGACGGGTCGGGACTAAAACCATGTGTACCACCAGTGCCTTCCCCGGTGGTACAAATAATCAATCAATCAAACATACATATTGTCTTTTTTCAATTTTCATACTACTGAGGACATTCAGACAACATATCTGGGATACAGGAGTTTTAACTCACACCTAGTATATGTCAATTTTTGAAAAAACTCAAAAAATCTCAACTTACACAAATAAATTCAACCAAACATGTTTTCAATCAATCATTTTTAAAGCGCCTCTTCCCTTTTACAATGGCAGTGCACAAAATGTTTTAATACAGTAAAAAATGCTTAACAGCATGATCAAAACAATTTTAATTATAAACTTTGTTATTGTGGACATTCAGGAAACATAACTACAACAAGGCTTCAGGTCTTTAATTTTGCGAACAAGTAAAATTTCATGAAAGTACACTGCAATACCATTGGCAGTGACAAAGACAGGTGATACGTACTTCCAGATATTTGTCTGTCCATAACAAATGTACTAACTACCTGGAATATTTTTGTCTCTCATGGCCGTGACCCACGTTTGTGCTTCATCATAGGCTTTATGCTAAAAAATATATTTTAAACAGAATTCATTTTAATTCATGTTTTATATTTGCATTAATTTTTAAACAAATGATTTATAAAAGAAATAAATATTTAACTAATTTACACTTTGGACCCTTGCAGTTAATCTGGTGCACAACAAGAAGATTTTTGCATTAAGTTTTTAATTTATACACTTTGCAACATTTTTCTGTATCTGCAGAATAAGTACTGATGGCCTCTTGCAAAGAGACCCATAAATAATTATGATTTCTACTAAGCAAAATTCTCTCCATCAAAAAATAGGGGTTTCAAAGCTTACCAGCAATTAAAAGTTTTTAGCAAAAAGGTAGTAGTAAAAACATGCTTTACAGAGACATTTAATAAACTTAGCCCTTTTAAATGTATTCTAAATGCTCCTTACAGTCAACATTCCCATAAGCATACTGTTGTAAGCCCAAGCATTTTTCTCTGGCATATTCTCAAACACAAAGTGGGCAGCATTTGTTTGTCTGCAAAAATGTCAAAATAATAATTCAAATAGCTTCAAAATCCCCAAAAGATGCATATTATGCTGATTTTCATAGAAGACCTAATAACTTTATGATGCATTTCCTTTAATCATAAAATTCTCAAGTTAATTCTCTACATCTCATAGCTTTAAAATAGCACAGTTAATCTTATTTATTTAATCAACCTCCTCCATAAGAAGGCATTTATTTAGAACTGTTCAATTTACAAGTACAGAATAATTAAAACATTTATTATGAAGCAATACTAACTTCCACTTTTTTCCATCATAAAATGGTGAAACGCCCCTGAATCCATAGTATATTTCTGATGGATCCTTGGGCACTCTCAATGGGTCGTGGCCTGTGTGCAGTGCCATCGCATCCAACAAACGATTGAAACATTCTTGTGAAATGGGCCGAAACCCTTCTGGTTGGTCTTCAGCACTTGCTACAGCTAAAGTCAATTCAAAACACTTCTCAAAGGAGTGACACGTAACTGTATATCAAATTAATTTTTTTGGTCCCATGGTAAACTGAATAAAAATGCTTTATTTGACACCCTTTATAACGACACAATGTAGACACATTTTGACAGACGAGCATTGGTATCTTTATTCCAACTGCGGACAAAAAGTATGCAAAACAAAAATAATAAATATCATTAATAATACTGCATTATTACTGAAATAAGGAAATTCAGGCAATTCACTCACCGCAATACTGATATATTTTGAACATTGTAAATGCATTTTTATACTGTCTATGTTCAATGAAGCCCTTGATTTCTTCTTCAAATCTGTCTGGGTGTATCAATGGATTGCCAGATTTATTTTTTGTATTTGCAATGATATGTTTCACTTTTCCATAATTCTCAGGCTGCTTCAGCTGCCTCAACGCAACACCAATAAAACCGGGCTCAAAGCTTTTGTAATGAAACTCCTTAAAGATAAAAACATTAAAATATTTTCTTTAATTGCCATATCTAAATAAACATGCCCGTTATAGCCGTACAGGCTATTGCTTCTTTAAAGATCACATTTTTAATCCTAAAAAATGAAATGGTCAAACTTATTAAGCAAAAATACCATCAACACAAACATATTTTTTAATTAAGCAGTATGTAGTTTTCTATATTTACATACCTTTATTGGTGGTTCAGCTGCATTAAACCTCATGACATTTTTATTGTTACTAAGAAACCATCTGGCAGCAGCTTTCCCTGCCGCCTTACTGAGTTCATTCTTTTTCTATTCAAATAAAACAAAAAGACAATTTTAACTATTATAATTACCAAACATTATACGATTAATAAGCAAATTATTTTTGTAACCGGATAAAACACTTAGCCAAATTGTATCAAGGATTTTCTCCACACTTGTATCTATTTTTACTGTGAAGAAATTATTTAAAAAAATGTAAAATACTAACCACAGGTACTGGATGGAAAGGGGCAGCCTTTGGGTGGTCTATCATATCATACCTTGGTGCTGTCCAATCCTAGAAATATGTAAATATACTTACGCAGTTTGATATGAACTTATTATATTGTGCATCCACTTCATAATTATAGGCAATTAAAAAAAAAACATACAAAAAATCTGATATTGGCTTATTAGTTGCAAAGAATGCATTTATGTATACTTACTATTTCAACTGTAGAGTTCAAAGCCTGAAGAATTGACAACTCATCTCTGGAATTGAATTAGTACACTAGAATAAGTATAAAATACTCATACCAGGGTCAAAATGTTAAAAAAAAAAAAAACTTACTTTCCCTGAGGGAAAGTTGTTTTATTTACTATTTTTTCTTAAAAAAATATTTCCCTGATTAAAAAAAATTGTAAATGATTTCATTAATAAATTATCAATGAAAGATACAATGTGACCTTGAAAAATGTACGTTTTCCGTTATGAAGTCATTTTAATGACTTCATAACAGTAAACGTACATTTTTCAAATTAAAATTACTGGAAATATATGACAAGACAGGTTCGAGGATTGGGGTCTAAAATTGCCATCTGTAATTTCTTTCAAAATTTCAGGGGTTCCAACTTTTCCAAGTGCTGTCAGCAAGGGAGGGGGGGGGGAATAAAATTTTTAAAAAAATTGAGGGGGGGGGTTAAAATAATCGATAATCTCCCGCTAATGCTCTTCAGTGAACAAACTCCCTTAGTAATTGTATTATATTGTATTTTGTAAGCTTTAGGTACTAGTAATAGTTTCCTCATGACTGAAAAAAGTGTGCACTACAAAGTAGTAGTATTATTCAATTGGACATATCATACACGCTGGGTACATCAAATTACTCAAAGAGAATTTTGTACTATGTCCACAGCCACCAAGTCGAGCGGTCTTTTTTCAAAAAATTTATAAGCCATCCAGCCATCTTTGAAAGTATAGGCCGTCCAGTAATGCCAGTGGCTGTCCAAATGACAGCTTGATGGTACAATGGGCAAAGCTTTGCTAGTAATATAAGAAAAGACAGTTATGAATTATTACCAAGAATATTCAACCAAAATGGTCAAAATCGCCAAGGAAAAATGTATGATTCGTTTTTCGTACCTGTTAACTCCATACTAGGTTTACTCATTACATAGAAAGTGTTATTTAAGATCATATCAATCATAAATCTCCATGAAATTGGTATTTGAAAATGACTCTAATGTGCAACTTCAAGCTTTCCCAAAAAGAGCTCTTGAATCATCCAGTGACTTTGCAAGCTATATATATACTAACCAAGAAGCTTGCAGCATGACATCACTTGCTTGATATACCTTAGAACATGTGCCAGTTTAGTAGCTGTTAATAGCAACTTTAAACTGGCTGGTGCTTTTCCATGTATAAACAAATTGCAGCAAAGAGACATTTGTAAGCAACAAAAATTGTATTCAAGATTTTTGTTCCCTAACAGTTGGACAGTCTTTAACGTTGAGCCCTGTGCTTTTGTGTCAGTTCTTAGAGAAAGTGACCTCTAATAGTGATTTCCAGACAGGTTTTTTGCATTTTGCAGACTTTTTCAATGATATACCCAACAGAAAAATAAGGTCTGACATAAATTTCCCACAGAAAACCAGTTCTTTAATCAAAATTACATGTACACATAAATAGATGAAAAAAATGATGAACTGTTACAGCAACTATATCATTTTTCTATGGGCTCATTTTTAACCACCTCTTAAATTCTATTGGCATGTTTTAACCACCCCTAAATTCTATTGGCATGTTTTTTATATCCTTGTACAAGCAATCATTCAAGGAAAAAATATAAAAAATATATCACCAACCCTACCTTGGAACTTTATTTGGAGGGTTCACTGTTTCTACAGCTGAAAAGTAAATTGTAATGCTTAACCATTGGCACTATAACACATAACAGATTGTCTACATAAATCTGGATATAACAGATAGTGAACATAAAAAAATGAAGTCTGAAATGTTCTTAATTCTAAGTAAATTTGGCATGCCTATGAGAAATACGCTATACTTTTTTTTGGGAGGGGGGAGGGGAAACAAAGTTAGAAATTACTCTGCAGCATTAGCTGAACATCTGACCATGGCAATTAAAGTGCCCAAAAATATAGTCTTGTTAGGAAAAATATGTCAAAACCTGACCATGTCCTGCATGGTAACTGAAGTTTGAACCAGATCATGCCCATTTTGGCACGGCACATACCTTTTGGAGCAGACAGTTCCTCTTGAGTAAAAAAAGGAATATCTTCTTCGTAATGCCCGGCCAGCTTTTCTCTCCAGCGTATACTAGCTGGTAACTTTACACTAACATGCCGATGAAACCTTGTACTGCAAAAGATCATTTAACATAGAAGATGGACAGAGTATAGGGTTTTAATCAAGTCTCTGAAACTTTTGGGACCATAAATATCTGGGAAGATCTCAAAACTTTAAGATCTCAGATTATTTTTGTCAAACCTATTTGTTTTAGATTCTGACTTGATTCACTTCAGAGACAGAATACCGATTTTTTTTTTTATTCATGAACGTGTGATAAATTAAGTTTGTCCTTTTGCATGTGGCCTTTATTTGAGTAACATAAACAAAATTGACATAAGTGATTAATATGTCTCACAGGGAATCAACCCTCACTTTATATGTAATTTTGAGGTAAGATTTATCTGCTCGACTACCAAGTTATCTTGCTCTGAAATCACACACCCATTGAAATGGGGATTGATGCAGCCATCACTGGAATCCAAATGGTAGGAACACGAGTGACATAATATATTCTCCTCCAAGAAACAAGGTAGTGTACAGGATCAAATGCGGCAGAATTTGCTTGGTCCTCAAGATTGTTTGAGAGTTTGCTGCTGGGCAGGAAACAATGGGCACCTTACATACTTAGTGGCCACTTCAACTCAATTCTTTTCTGAGGGTAAGTGATTTCACGGTAACAAAACTGGTAGACGAGCCGATGAATTTTACCTTAATCACTGTTCCAGGAGTGTGCAACTTGAGGAGATAAGAGGAAAAATAAATATCCCGGTATGGCGTGTACCGCTCGGACCGTGAACCATCCGTTCTGCTCATGCACACAAAGCGGCGGCAAATCTGAGATACTTCCAGCGTGTATGTCCGTCTCTATAGAGTCATCAATACATTCTTAACCTTTAATAAACAAACACTGTTGAGAACATACTGCAAATTCAAACGTAATCTTTAGAAGTATTCATATCTTATAGATGTTCACCTCTACTGCGATTTCCCTCAGGTGGTCATATCAACACACTAGCCTAGTAAAATCAATACAAAAATAGTAGCTAGCAGCTGAATAACGACGGCCCGTCCATGGTAGGTTCATCTATGCGTCGAACTGTAATTTGACGCTGATTCTCTATGAAAATTATCAATTAACAGGTGAATTTTATCCCCATCATAGTAAATGTATAATTTGGTAGGAAATGAACTAGCCGAATATAACAGTACTGGTGAATAACAACGGATCATTCACGGAACGGCTCATACACGCGTCTGCTGCGTGTACAATCAGTCAGCACGGATGGTTCACGCAGAACGGACCGTACACGTGATACCGGTGTCACGTGTACGGTCCGTTCTGCGTGAACCATCCGTCCTGACCGATTGTACATGCAGCAGACGCGTGTATGAACCGTTCCTTGAATGATTTGTTGTTATTCACCAGTACTGTTTTATTCGGCTAGTTCATTCCCTACCAAATTATACATTTACTATGATGGGGATAAAGTTCATGTGTTAATTGATAATTTTGATAGAGAATCAGCGTCAAATTACAGCTTGATGCATGGATGAACCTACCATGGACGGGCCGTCGTTATTCAGCTGCTGGCTACCATTTTAGTACTGATTTTACTAGGCTAGTGTGTTGATATGGCCACCTGAGGGAAATCACAGTAGAGGTGAACATCTAAAAGATATGAATACTTCTAAATATTATGTTTGAATTTGCAGTATGTTCTCAACAGCGCATGTTTATTAAAGGCTAAGAATGTATTCATGACTATTGAGACGGACTGTACACGCCGGAAGTCTCTCAGATTTGCCTGCGCTTTGTGCGCATGAGCAGAACGGATTGTTCACGCTCCGAGCGGTACACGCCACACCGGATCGACTGCTTGGAAGGCAACCATGCTAACCGTTACACCATCCACTCCTGTTTACACATATTTTCTCATGCCCAACTCCTACATGAGTGGTTGTCGTATTTATTTCTTCGTTTCAATAAGAATCGTCTTGTAAGACACTTTGAGTGCATTTACACCCTTAAATTAGTCATTTCAGCCGCGTGCACACAGAATTCAAAGGAAAAAATGAAAAGTTAAGTCTGGATTATTCATTGGACAATTCTTTTTCTAAAAATTTACAAAAAGGTTTCATATTGTTTGAGTCAAAGAAAACAAATCTCAGCTAACAATCTCCAAACCATGGATCTCGCGTTTACGAACTAAAAGTTGACTTTGACACAAATGGATGTCTTTGAGGCAGTGCATAATGATGTAGGAGATATTTTTACATTAACTTGAAGTTAAAGGCGATGATATTTAAATATCTAAATAAATAAATAAATAATATATATATATATATATATACATATATATAATGTAAAACTTCAACCTTCGGGTTGTAATATTCCAATAAAGATTATTATTATTATTATAAACTTTTTTAAATAGACAAAACAAAAAATATAGGCCGCTTCACGGGTATCCAATCAATATTGAGCGATATTCATTCAGATCTGTTCATTGGAAAGACTGTTGCTTGATTTCTTTTAAATGCTTACCATGTAAAGCCCCATTAATCTGTTTCGAATTATTATATCTAGGCGTCAAAGTGTTAAGGTAAGCCATCGGGGCGTCTGTATCCGGAAATTAGAGCTTAGACGGATCTTAATCAAACCGTTCTGAACGCGACCCTAGTCGAACGTCAGCGGATTTTTCAACCGACTCCCGCTGTCCGTGCCGCCCGGATAGCTCAGTCGGTAGAGCATCAGACTTTTAGGGATAACTAAGTTATCTGAGGGCCCAGGGTTCGAGTCCCTGTTCGGGCGATTTTTACCTTTTTTCCTTTTATTATATCAGTCGGAATTCCATCGGTATCGATGGAAAATTACAGGCACACTTTGCGCGTTAGAAAAACTCCCCACTCCTCATACTTTCCGTGAAAAGCTTCTAACGTTTTATTATTTGAAACCCCTTAAATAAAGGTTTATCTGAAGCGTATCTATTGTCGTTATCTTCTTTTTAGCCTTGTCTGGTAATCATGACAGTTTGCAGCGTCTGCATTTTTCACGAAATAAGGTTGCGGTAGCAAAACACCACGTCATCTTAAACAGGTATGAAGCGAAAACTACATGAAGTCTATGGTCAGGCTCATAAATTAAAATTTTGAGTTGACGGATGCCAAATAAAAATTGATAAGGAGCTCAGAAGATACAGAAGAGTCCAAAATAAACGTTCAAAATGTGAAATATTAAAATCATCATAATTCTGTGTAAATTATGACGATTGCTACCCCTTATTATGGCACTATTCTGTTCATTGTCTGCCAGGGCGCTGCAGTCATTTTTAAATTGTCAAGATTTGCTATTGCAGCGTCTGTTTTAGTGGATGGAGCTGAATCGATTCTTGTTCAACCATTCTGGATTCAACCCCGAATCGACTGCTCAACAGGCAGTCATGTTAACCGTGACATTTTTGGATGTTATTAAGTTAATGAGAAATAATTCAATTATGTTTTGTTCTCCTCTGGAATTTGTTTTTGCCACAGAATGTGAAAGATTAAAAATATATTGTCACCGATAATTTATAATTTGGTTCCAAACTAATCTATTTGATACGAAATATGTATGAGGTTTGAACACGGGTTGAAATTTGGCAAAATGCTAGGACCGGGAGTCGAACCCGGATCGACTGCTTGGAAGGCAACCATGCTAACCGTTACACCATCCACGCCTGACATAGTTAATGTGACTTAAGCCAATGTCCCACTTTCAACTGGTTGCCATATCTTATTTATTTCAAAGAAAATCATCTTTAAAGATTTTTTTATAGACCTTTATAAAAATTTGTCATTTTCATCTGCGTGTACATAGAATTTAAAAGAAAGATAAAGAAAAGTTAAGTATGATTAATAAATGGGACCATTATTTTTCGTAAAATTTTACAAAACTGGCTTCATATTGTTTGAGTTGAAGAAAACTTACATCCCAGAAAACCACTTTCCCAATCATAGTATAAAATACCAAAATGACAAAATATTACTTAACTTTGCAATAAATGCATATCTTTAAGGCAGTGCATATTGATATTAGAGATAGTTTGGCCATTGCTTGCAATTAAAGTCAATGAAATAAACATTGAGAAAGATAAAAAAAATTTAGATCGTTTCTCTGATATTCGAAACGCAATCTGTATTAAGTCGACATTCATTTCGGTTCATTTGCAAGAATTCACTTCAGTATTAAATATGTAAAATTCCATCAGTCTGTCTCGACCGTATTCTATCTCAAACAAACAGTCTGATATGAGGCAGTAATACTACAACCTTTCGACAACACGACGTATTATCAAGGAAGTCGATTCTCTTGACAAAAGTAGATAGAAAAAATATCAAAAATATGAAAAGAGATAAAACTCCAAGGAATGTTAATTGAGGATAACGTCGCCTAAAATATGAGATTCTATTCTAGCACTAGTGTCATACTATGTAATGTAAAAATGTAGGTAGCAGCAGACGTATGGGACTATTATTGTAAGGCAGAAGTTTGAGATACATAGTTGCAACGCTGTAGCTGTTGATGGTGGCGGTGTTGTCACTATGTTGTATACGCCGTCGTCCCCTTTGTAGTCTACTCCGCCAGCTAAAACGAGGTGAAGTATAAGGTTAATTGCAATTGTTTAGATATGTATCAGGTTGTATAGTAAATCATATATGTCGATCTATGAAATTTGAATAAGTAATGTTTTGCTCAATTCATTAAGTCATATTATGAGTATGGGCGCGTGTCTGCGTGTACGCGTGTACGTGCGCCAGGAAGAGAGGGTATAGAAAAATAGTTGAAAGGTGGTTTGGGTTGAATATTCTGGAATCGTACCTGGACAAATGTTACACATATTAGGGCAATATTCTGCGACATTTGCAAAGTTCCTGCAATCTGTTTTGGTAAATGGTCCGCCGGTGGTGGCGCATGCGTAAGTATTATCTCTGCTCTTGCTACAGTTAACTAAGACATAAAATGAATTTTAAAAAATCAACTATGAATCAACTTTGGCATCACTATAAAAAATTAAATCTTGAGTGTCTCTTAAAAGACACAGACTGTACTTTAGAAAATAAGTTCGGATGTGTTATGTATACATGTAATATAGCCTTAAGAGATTCTTTTTTTTTTTCATCCAAAAGAGAACGGGGCAAAAGATATTAAAATAACTGTATGAGCAGAAATTTTCAACTGCTCTTTGCTGCAGTCTTCCTCGGTCCTATTATTTGATCACTAAGTTTGACCACTCTGCACATACACGTATTTTAACATCTTATGCCTCGTTCTCTTTTGGGTGAAAAAAAAAATCTCTTAAGACTATATAAAACAGACTGTACTCCTTAAATACAGTGTATGTGTCTTTCTGAAAATGCTACGTTATATCTCTCAGAAGTTTTCTTTAAGCTTAAAAGGCAATATTCAATTTTCTACTTTGATCTAAAATTTTGAAAGTCATTTTTACTTTTACAACCAAAAACATTTACTGCAGTTCTTTCAGATTTTTAAAATCAAAATTCATACTCACGGTCGCAGAGGTCGCCAAAGAATCCCATGGCTGTAGTGGGACACGAACATTTACATGTGTTAAGGTCCAACGTCCCTCCGTTATGACATACTTTTCCCAAGCAATCTAAATGTTGAAAATATTTGTCATTATTTCATTTAAATTAAGATGATTGTTAATGTCACCCTTCTGTTCATTGTCCCCCAACATGATGTAATTATTTAATTGTTAAAGTAAGCTATCAAAGCTCTATGTTCATGAATGAGGGATGAAATGCATTTGTTGAGACCGTTCTGAATGCGACCCTAGTTGAGCGTAAGCGGATTTTTCAACCGACACCAATCGTCAGCGGCGCCCGGATAGCTCAGTCGGTAGAGCATCAGACTTTTAGGGATAACCAAGTTATCTGAGGGTCCAGGGTTCGAGTCCCTGTTTGGGCGGTTTTCACCTTTTTCCCTTTTGTTATATCAGTCAGTAATTCTATCGGTATCGAGGGGAAAATTATCAGAAAATTATCCCACTGTCATATACTTGCCCTGAAAAGCTTCTTTGTTTTGGGCGATTCACACCTTTTTATCCTTTTTGTTAAATCGGTCAGTTTCGGAACACAGGTTAGTTCAGGTGACATTCGTCCCATTTTCTAACCCCAATACCACAACTAACCCTTACCTTTACTAATCATATGGGAGCCCGCAGACTTCCATTTCAAGGACTACCATTCCTGTCACACCCGCATCGAACGCAATGAGGTTACTTAAGTCAAGGTATGTGTCACTTCCGTTATTTTTTTATTTTCGTATGAGTATTGAAAAAAATTGATAAAGAACTCAAAAGGACACGGTACGGTAATGACTCGGTCTTTTTAATGGGCAAAAATGATCAGACTATATTTTATAATTTTAAAACAGAATTTGTGGTGCCTTTACTGCATATAACAGAACTATGGGCTGCTTTTTAATATAGTGGAAAGTATGTCTTCAGAAATAATCTCTGTAAAATTCACAATTTTCCCAATTGAAAAATACGAGTAATTACCGTATATGCAAAAGTGTGGACATATTATAATCGTGTGTTAATTTGGACAGTAAATTCGACCGCGCTGAGGGAAACTTTTTAGAGCTTAGAAGTATCTTTCTCTCGAATTAGGAAATGTTGGTAATTTGCTTTATACGTAATCGAGAATTGAACATCTCCATTTCTGTATTCTTAAAAGATTGATATAAAAGGCTATAATAATAAACGTGTGAATTATAAGAAATGAGTCAGAAAGATTCAAAACAGAAAAAAAACTCACCACACAGCCCGTTTTCACACTTATCTGGACACGCTTCACACCTGTCGTTTCCCTCTCTATACGGTTTGTACCTGGCGTTGGGATCAGAGGGTGTTCCTATATTTCCTCTGGAAATATAAAAGTCAGAAATTAAAACGTGATTTCACAGTACTTTCCACATTTGTAGCTGTTACACAATTGACTGAAGGTGCTTTTATACTGGCAATGTAGTAGTTAAAAATAAAAACGTGCTTTCATACCACGCTCCTTCTAGAGGTTCCTCTAGCTGTTACATAATCAGTTGACGGTATTTTAACAGATTCTGTAGCTGCTAAAACAGCTAGAAGGCTTATGAAAATGAATACTTTCATAGTCATACACTTGAAATATTGACATATGCCTTTTATTATTCATACATATTGCACAGAACAAACTGAATTTCATCCCTTTTTTATATTCATACACTTGATCAATTTATTATTGTCATAGAAACTATTCTCCAATATTTCTTATTTCCATTGTAAGTAACTAATATTGGCATTAGAAATAGTTTGGCTTATATATAATATGAAGGAAGTGGAAATATGCTATTTCCCGACAATTTCTTGTGATAATTTGGTGGTAATCTCATCCCTTTCCTGGCAGCTAACGTTTTATTAATGGGTGCAAATGATCGTCATTTGTAGGAACTAACACATCGATATAATTGTGATAAAAATGGCTTAAATCAATACGTCGTCAATCTTTTTGCCAGATTTAGCTTCGACAAAGATGTCACACGAAAATATGTGATTTTAATTTTTAAAAAAGTCTATTCCACGATTGACTGTAATGCCATTGAGGTGCACCAATCGGTAAACCCCGCAATAAGACAAACATATAGTACGGGTATCTACATAAAAGTTAGTGGCACTCGATCCTCTTACCATACAATATATGGTATGTGTACGTGTGGAATAAAAACTATTGCGAGGACCGGGAGTCGAACGCTAGCTATCCACTGCTATTTCAATCATTTAACTGTCCCCGCTTAATATGATATTCTTCTGTTCTAACCTGAATAAATTTGGTTTTTGTCTACATTATTTCAATACAGAAGCACATCACTATTTGATTGCATAGCCTTCTTATTATTTGGTCTTCATTTATTAATCTATTGAGTCATTATTCTGGGAAGGTGTTAAAAATTTTATTTCCGTTGTTTGAACAGGTTAAATTTTGGCAAAGTGCGAGGACCGGGAGTCGAACCCGGATCGACTGCTTGGAAGGCAACCATGCTAACCGTTACACCATCCACGCCTGACGCTACCTAATGTTCATACAGGTTTAATTGGTAATAATATTTTGCTTATTTGTCTACTCTTCCTAACTAAATGAAATTGTTTATTGTCAATTATTGCTGAATGTTTTGGATTCGAATACGCTGCTCATCGCTTATTATGGATTCTTCTACCCTCTACCAGGGTGGCAGATATAGGCAAATTCTCTAAAAGCCAGAGAATCAAATGACTGTCTATTTAAAGACATATCTGTGAATATCTTATCAAAAATCAATCTGTCGCCCTAGAAGAGGGTAGAATTCTTCTGTGGTTTACTGCAACGACCGGGAGTCAAAACCGGATTAACTGATGGGAAGACAGCCATACTAACCCTTACACGTCAATAATACTGCGTTCTTTTGGTCAAAGTCTCATATGAAATACTCATTCCAAACGATACGAATGTCGTGAACTGTGCTTTCAAATCAATGACAAATAGGATAAAGAATGTAATTTATTACATGTACTTCATGTACAGATCTTCACTTCTGCGTGCAACGAACATCAAATCGATAGCTTTTGCACATTTCCTTGATTGGATGCGACAGCGCAATGTTTCAAGTGAAACCTTGAATAGGAGCTTTCGTCTTCTTGATCGCTATTTTCTTTTCTGTCTCTCAAGCATATTACTTTTAATTTTGGCGTGATGTCAGAATTGTCATAAATGAGGGAAAATATAAGTTAAAAGATAAGAAAAAACTTCAAAGTTTGTTACGTCATTAAGCTACTACTTTGAGACTCCGGAGTAGCGTGCTAAAAGTTATGAAAAGGTTGACAGAAACAACTGAACCAAAACTTTTAGACGTTTGTGTATTTACAGTGTATTTTGTATCAAAAATAAGCGCAGATTGGCACCACGTGACACCGGTGACAACTCAACATCAGTTAATACCCATTTACACAAGGTGCTCTTAAAAATACTACTGCCAATTTTCATGGAAGTGAAGTTTTACTTACACTTGGGCATAATCACAAACAAACGTCCTTGTGACGCCGCACATTGCAAAACCGCATCCGATCTTTGCCGACGTCGCCCATGCCATCTGAAACAAATACGGTGAACATGTATTAAAATAGGTGTAGTGTTTGATGGTTTAGCAAATATTTTTCAATTATCCCTATTTTAAGCAGGACATATGACCATATGGTTTGACAAACATATAGCAAAACGTCCAGCGGGTGTCATATAAAATCAAAAGCACAAAATACTCTGGAGTTTAAGTCAAATTAGACATATTATATGAACATCAGTAAAACTGCGAAATTATGCCCAAGTGGACGAACCAAAAATAGTTTTTACCCACCAGCAACACGTATTTTTAATATGCAAATCGATTTTATTTCATTTTATTGAATCTTATCGAGAGATCATATTAATTTTCATTTTATACTTTTACTGTATAAACATGACAATAAATGAATTAATATTATTATAATTATCATTATTATTAATGAGTATAATCCATTTTGGGTGGTTATACCTGGGTGTAATGACCGATGGCCTTTCCATTAATAGAACCAAATCCGTATTTGAAGTCCTTCAACTCGCCCCACCACGCTTTTAGCACCCCACTCCAAGACGTGTAACCCCACGCAACGTTCTGGCCCAGGCGGTTGAATCTACCTGAAAGACATGGAAAACATAATTATGGCATTTTGGTACCCACTACTAGGGCCGCAATTATTATTATGTGGACATTTTTGCCGAGTACAGAAAATAACCGTGAATTTATCCAGGGACATATTTGTGAATATTTAGTGAAAAATCAATCTGTGGCCCTGTTAGAGGGTGGTATTTTGGTACTCTCTGCCAGGGACACAGATTGATTTTTTCACTAGACATTCGCAGACATATCTCTAGCTTATTCATGACACGATTCTCTGCTCTAGCGCTGATGAAAAATGCAAATATTTAATAGGGTAGAGTATAGTATTTTGATACCTGGAAATTTATATAACCTATGTTCCTCTCTCCCCCAACCCCCCCCCCCCACCACAAAAATTGAATGTTTTAAGTTGGTTTCAACTCTTTAGACAGAAAGTTCAGACAACTATAAAGCAATAGACGTAGGCCCGATAAAAATATCTCAAAGTTAATCCCCAAGTTCGGTTTCCAGGCGTTATTACGTTTTAGTTCCTACCTGGAATGCTCCTTAGAACGCCGTCCTCATGTGGGTTACTGTATGTGGGGCATGTGTCGGCCCACCTCTGTGCTAGCAACGCCACCTCATCATCCCAGTACTAGATGATAAAACAATAGGTGATATATATATATATATATATATATATATATATATATATATATATATATATATATATATATTAGTGCTCGTTAACTTAACGTTGTACTTGTTAATATGAGGTGGGGCTCGTTAATATTGGTGTTGGCGCTCGGGAATCTGAGGCTCGTGCTAGGAAACGCCTAATCCGATTATTAGGCCTGAAGATGTTTAATCCACCTACGTCAGAGTGATACTTCAAGATTCAAAATCTATATCATGCATGTTAATTTGGGTCTTAGTCATTATAATACGTACTTATACCAAAAATATTTATATACCACTTTTAAATTTCACTGCTCAGACTAAACGTACCATTTTTTGCATGTTTGCTGCGAGGTATCGAGTTTTACTGCGAAACTCGTTGTGTAGGTTCACTATCTCTCTCTTTTCTGAATAGGACACACCTGTAAGTGAAGACAATAAATCATGATCAAAATCAATACTGTGATAAAAAAAGTAAGAAGTATGGATTTCCCAATAATTGTATGTCTTCTTGCCCCTAGTTTCATATTCAAAGCGTGCCAAATTCTCAGTGCATTCTACATGCAGGCAAAATATCCGCTTACTGTATTTTTAAATAAGTAAATATTAAAATACCGCAAATATCGCACATGTGCCTTAATGATATCGAGATTTGAAAACTTGCTCGCATTGAGTCGGCGTCTGGAGCTCGGGTAATAAGTTTGTGTTTGTCCCCAAGAGTATATTTTATACTATAATATTTCTGAATGTCACTTGCTGACACAAGTGGTAGTAAAATTGGATGGAGTAAAACAACAAAAACTGTGAACCTCAAAGGAAAAACAGTATAGGGTGAAAATAGGTCATATGGAACGTATATAGGTGATTGCAGGATTTCGGCGATTGTAAGCGTCCTCCTTACACCTCCATCATTCCCTAAAACCGTACGGCGTTCTTTCTGCGTCCTTTGTGTGACCATTGATGTGGTCATAGAAAGGAGGCACAAGCATCACTTTGGTTGCAGAATGAATGCTCAATGATCGGTCAGTTGTCGGCACGTAAAGTAGCCTTTTTTTTTTACTCTCAAACGGTGCCGTACTACGGTACGCAGAGAGGACGCCGTCCAGTGTAAAAGGAGCTAAATTATTCATCTGTTTGTGATACTATTAAGCGTAAACTGAGTCTTTGCATAATGTTTGAAAAGAAATCATGACCTACCTGAAATCGCCAGGTGGACGTCCTGAGAGGGTTCCAAGCAAGCCGTGTGTCCGGGAAAGACCTTGAATTTGTCGTGGCATGTCTAAAATGGTTAAAAGGTTTTGATTTTGTTTTTAAATTAAAATGTTAGTACACACACACACACACAGAGAGAGAGAGAGAGAGAGAGAGAGAGGAGTAGGGGAAACATATGATGAGTGCTCACTTTATTGAAATATTATATGAATATCGTTTAATGTGAAATTACATTACAAGAATAACATAGAACTCTGCATGTGACATATGCTTACAGGAAATTGTGTTCAGATAAAACTCGACAAAATCAATATCTAAAAAAACTGCCCTTTGAACAGTTGTTAAGCAAAACTCATAACAAATAGATAATCAAATAAACTACTGACTCGTGCCTGATGAATGTAGACGAAATGCATGGCTGCCTGACTTTCTTCAGTCTACACCTCACGTCTGTTGCCCTTATACTTTATCTATATTTCTCCCTTATTCAAATACTTCCTCGTTATATAAAAATTAGACCTAGATCACCTTTTAGCGGAAACAGGCCTGAGTGCAATTTAAAAGGGGGTCTTTTCAACAACAAATCCTTCACAGTTGGGAGTCTTTAACAGGTAGGCTGATATATGATGACCCCGCCTTTTATTGCGAGACACGAGTTCATGCATTTAAGTGAAGCCCTCCAGTGCAATACGACGGGAAATAAGGCAATAAAAGACGTCAAGGAGAAAATTTTCAGTGGCGATATCTAAATATATTGGGGCTATTACCCTTTATAGTGTCTTTGTATATCGGATAAGGACCACATATACATATATCTAGACTCAGAACAACTTGTACAACGGTCAGACATCGTAAATTATAATATTATCTTGAGAAGAACACAGTGTTTGGCCTCACCTGACTTTCTGCTTTGACCGATGTGACAAGGATTGTCCATAGAACGCTATAGCCCAGTGACCGGTGGCTTTGCCCCGTCATCTTCGTATACAGGGTGTATAGTATCACACACTCTATGGCTGAGGCAAAGTACTGGTGCTTGATTGATCAGACTCGGTCGTCGAAGGGGTGCTGATTTTTGTAATGGTTACTCTGAAAATACTGGATTGTTAATGAATATAGAGTTATACACCGGGGAATTTTAAGGTCCGTTGAGAGACAGACTTAATCCTTAAATAGGTTCACATGAAAAAAAAAAACTTTTAGCTGTGACTGAGTCATCCCTTATCTATGATAAAGTTCAACTCATGACTACTAATCATACTACTGTATGTTCATATTCTTTTAATATTTTGTTTGTGTTTAATCAGTGTAATAACCCAGTCCATCAGCGATTTAAATTTTTACAAGAACGTAAGATTGTCAGTAATAGAAAATACTGGTATATCAGTACCGTTACAAGTTGGGCTATTCATTTCCAATGCATATTTTAATAAACATTCAAAAAACATTCAAAATTTAAAGAACGCCATATTATTATCAAACACAGAAAATATTTCGACAGATAAATCGCAAGACATATTTCCCGTACAACACATGATAATAACAGCATAAAATCCCCCTTGTGAGATCTTTATTTACAGAATTACATTAAATTACTCGTCTCAGAAAAAAATATTTATCCAGATTTGCCACTTAAGGTATGTATAGTACAATATATGGTTATAGCTTAACTGAGAAATCCCCAGTCTGACAAATCCTACAAATAGGTTTCCAAATACCAGGCTGAGCGATACAATCACACACAGAACAACGGATCGATAACCAACGACTGACAACAATATATGGGATATGCCAGATGTTCACTTGAGCGCCCTTGGTGGGTAGTACCTTCAATGCAGCAATAACATTAACGGGATGTACTATTGTGCGGCGCATCGCACTAAGTCCATTTAGAATAATACATCGACATATCTTGCATATCACTAAACTGGGGTTTTAGTCATGTTTAGTGGGCCTATATTTGTTGGGAAAATCGATGGGGTTTATTTGACCTTTGTCCCCCTATGGGGAAATCTCATGTTAGTAATTTGTCTAAATGTGCTTCGACAATTTTACAATATATGATGCAATGCGTGCCTGGTATTTATATTATATATTCTGTTGTTATTATCAGTCTCGAATGAGGTGTTACATTGTGTGTTTATATGGCCTCGCAAGATTCCCGTGTCTCATATGTAAACAGACTTCCAGTGACACAAAGTAGCCTACCCTGGCCTCAGCGAATATTCGTTGTTTTCCCATTCATCGACAATACCCATATCCTTCGTTATCACAAGAAAGAAGATATCCATTGTCCACTAGTTGCGATGCATTATCGGAGACTTAAAACCCGCATCCGTACACTTTCTTTCCTCCATCACAGGTTATGTGTAGAAACAAAGTGAGCATGCTGTGATAATGTTTATGACAGCATTACAATCAAAATTCCTGGTTTCAGTTTTATTGCTGGTTGTCAGAGAACCCATAAACACATTGAAGAGATACAGCCATCTCCCGAATGTTAAATTTTGATACAAAGCTTGTCTGGATTCGTGGCGTGCCCCACCCCCATGCACCCCCCTCCCTCTAGCATACTAGAGGATATCACTGAGTTAATACTGGATATAGAGTACATTTTTGTACAATATATCATGCTGTTTTGTCCCATATCACACTTGTAAACGTGTACTTGTACTTCATCGGCAAGACACGGAAGACGCTATCTTTACCGTTCTGGTGGCTTACGGAAATGAAAGTAGCTGGCGTTTATAAATGGTGTCTATCGTTTTATGTGTTAGTACACGTACTTAGTGACTATCTCTCTAATTCGTACCCGCTTACCTGTTTACCTGTGTGTGTTGTGACACTCCAATGTCTACTGCTACAATATTTTGAATTCCACAAAGTTGACTGATCAGTCTATGGCCGGCAGATATATATATATGAATCATCCGTCATGTTTAGAAAGTTGAAATCCCCCCATCTGATATCACGACATTGAAGGTCCTATATTTGTGTGCGGTTTTTACCTGGAAGCAACCGACCTGCCTCTTGTCTCGTCGTTTGTGACTAAGACTGCGTGCCACACGCGCCCTGTGTCACACGTTAATGTCACGGTGCTTAATGCCGTGTGTCCGTGAAACATCTGACCACACACTCGCGCGTTTCTGTCTCTTTTATGGCTGTCACTACTTAACTATCAGCCTGAGACGCGACCTCCGTCGTTGGCTACTTTATTAATCAACGCGAGACGCTAGATAAGATGCGTGTTAAACGTCTGAGAGACACAGGTCACAAGGCCTGCAAGGCGATCTCCGGTATTATATTATATCGGAGGTTTATTACAAGGTGTAAAAACAAGCGTCTTTTGACTGCACGTTCACTGTTCTAGTTTGACAGGTAGCTGCAATGTGGTGGCTCCTTAAAGTACAGAAACAGATAGTCGCTGTCGTTTTAAATGTGTGGCACGCTGCTGTTTGTTGTACAATGTATGTAGGTTGACGCTTTCTGCTGGTACGACGCTCTTCACCGGCCAACTAGTGTCACCGAAGAAGGGAATATACGCCAGAGTCCTTCACTGGATCAACGCCCCTCACTTTGAACTTTGGTGACTATAAATAAGCCTACCTGAGCGTATTTGAAATGGAATGACGATTTAGGTCAAGTAAAGAATATAAAGCGAACAAATGTATTGTGCACGCTCTGACAGACATCAAGGCCTTTGTGGCGTAGGTGGCTGTTAACTTAACGTATTTTGTCAAAGCGCATATAGCGGAATTAAAGGCAGACTACTGGTTAAAAAGGCAGGCCCATAGCCAGGGGGGTGGGGGGTTCGGGGGGTTCGAAAGAACCGCCCCTTTTAGTGGGAAAAGGTCCACTCTGGGTAAAATTTGATCTAGGTTCATGAAGTTTTTATGGGAAAAGGTCCACTTTTTCAGAAAAAGACCCCCCCCTTTTGAAATTGCCGGCTACAGGCCTGAAAAGGTATAACGCTATAAAGGTACATGTATAACGTTCCTTTTCTTTCTGAATAATCTGAATATATAAGGTCTTTTAGCGAGGCGCAGATATTAAGACCAAGGAAGTACAGGGCTTCCTTGATTAGATTTAATACCACATGAACCCAGAAGTGAAAAAAAAAAAACTCCTCATACGGGCTCACTTTGAGCCCACAAAATCATTTTCAGATGACGTTCTATAACTGTTACATGTACATGTATTAGTACATGTGGTACATGTATTAGTAAATTGCAGCACTAGATGCGAAGCAACTGCAAAACATACAGAATTGTCACCGCTTTTTGTTTAATATTATTTAAAATATAATCAATAAATGGATATTGGGAGGGCGGAGCGGCTGAAAGCAGCCACTCTACTTAATTTGCGTCTATTTGCGTTACGGGCCCGTACACTAATATGCTTGAACAATATGTACAAATAGGCCTACATATAATACATGTACAGGTACATCTACTCTAAGCCCACACACCCCACCCCCCACCCACTATACAATGAGATAAGAAATCCACATTGTAGGCCCTAACCTGCAGATATTTATGATGGCATATGACAGTTTACGCACCTTTTTCTGTCTGATAATTTCTCTTAGCTGCGGCATACATGTACCTGTGAAAGCCTTAGGGGGTTACACCCCAGTTTGCTGTAGGCCTAAGCCTGTTGTTAAAATGTTATCGGGGTGAAGAGTGTATAAGAGATATTCATATTATATAGGGGGAAATGACACTATCGTCAACAGTATTTAAAACGAAATAACACCTAGCCCGAGAATAGGAAAAAATCGACGCGAAAATACCTATTTATAGTAAGGTGTAGTACGTCATACAGCTTTCCAGGTCACATGACCATGTCACATGATTCTCTGACCCGTAAACAAAATGGCAGGTAACAGGTTACCAGTTGAGGTAAGTTTCACAGGTCCGAAAACGCATTTTAAGCCATTGTCATCTTCGCGATTGTGTTTTATTCTGGAGAAGATGTTTCCATGTGTTAATAAGACCACAAAAATAAACTTCAGGAAGTATGAGAAGATGTGGTGCGTTGAAAATGTGATGTCTCGAGCTGTCAAAATATTTCTATCCCGAGTCACAAGACGCTTACACAACTGTGATGCACGTTGCAATGTACCAGTTTGGTCGCAATTTTGGCTTATTGATTTATAAAAAACACCCAATTATTTTTTACATCATTGTTGCTCTTTGAGATTTACCAGTAGCATACTGCCACCGGAATATAAATATATATATATATATATATATATATATATATATTCAAACAGTATATATATATATATTTACTTTTTGAAAATATACTGGTAAATACGTTTTTAAAAATATTTAAAAATATCTTTATTATTTTCGACAGGTTATCACTCATATCATGAGGTTCCTAAGTGTCTCAGACCGTAAAGAAGCCTGCTTAGTGAACAAGATCTGGTATGAGGCCTACTCCGACCCTGTAATACAGAGAGATATTGTAGTAACATTCCACTCCCACAGCACATACTGTAAGGAACCTTTGTCAGGTCTGCGGAGACGTCAGACCCCAAATTTAGTCCTCAACGAGATAGATGACTCTAATAAATCCAAGGACATGATCCTTATGTCATGCCAGTATCTTAGTGAGAACTTGCAGAGCTTGTCACTAAAAGGCTGTGAGGTGAGTGTCGGGACTTTCATGACTTTCATCAACCAGTGCTGCACCCTGGTGAGCTTAGATCTCAGTTGCTGCAATAACTTGTTCATGACAGGCACCCTGCTCCAGAATGCGGAAGAAAGGGAGAAACTGCAGAAAGTTTTAGAAAATGTGCGATATTTGAACTTGAGCGGGATACGCTTCCTCTCTGATGTTACCTTCAACAGAATGGTAGAGGTGTGCTGCAACATCGAGTCCCTCTCCCTGGCATCTTCGCGCATCACATTCAACTCAGACCCTTACAAGAGAAACACCGCACATGGCCCCAGTGCATCCTTGCTCACTTTTGAAAACATTATGAAATTCATCGAGGACAACAGCAATAAGATCAATGCTCTAGACTTCAGCCGCACCTCCATCAATGACGAGGCACTCCTAACAGTGGCCAGCACAAAGGGTCTTAAACTTCAGAGACTTGTCCTCCACACTTGCAGAGAGCTGGGATCCGAAGGAGTCGTGGATCTCTGTAAGACACAAAAAGACTTGGAACACTTGGACTTGGCTGAGTGCTTTGAAGTGGGAAACCAGGGGGCTGGTGCCATCATGAGGAACCTATCGCTGTTAAAATTCCTCAGGCTTGAGAAGTGCAGGTATGTCACTGACGAGGCCGTGAAAGGGTTACACCAGTTACATAACCTCGTCCACCTCGACCTTTCTGCTTGCCATCAGGTCACCTCCAAGGGGTTAATCCGAGGGATCTGTGAGAAACCCCTCACCCTCCTCACCCACCTCAACCTGAACTGCTGCAGTTACGTCAATGACAGTTTTGTGTTGGAGGCGTGCAGGGCTCTCCCTCAGCTCGTCCACCTGGATCTGGGCTCCTGTTTCCC